CATAACACACTCAGCTGATAGCACCTATGGGATGTTCTGGGCTCAAAGGCATCCATAGATTGCAATGTGATTGTTTCTCTAAATGCTTCATGCTGGCTTTGATGGGAAATCTGTGCTCACCTCTGCTGGAGAAATGTTTTTTTCAATTGCACTATTGTTCATGCTGTCTTTGACTTATCACCCTTCTAGCCCCTTTCTCTTTGCCCTCATGCATATAGGAAATGTTTTGGAAAGCAAACTTTTAATTGAAAAAAAAATCAATAACAGTTTTACCAAAGACATCCTGTTTTTACCAGTGTGCTCGGGGGCACTCAATTCCTAAATATCCGCACAGATACATTAAAACTATCCGACAGAAGTCTTGTCGGCAAATTAATGTGAATTTCCATGAGGAATTTCTATCAGCACTAAGGGAACTAATTTTTTAAAAATATTTTTATTGCTATGTTTTGTTTTCAGATCACTTATTTTCCCAGAAAATCTTTCCCATATCCCTACCTCATCCCAGAAAGCTTTCTGCTTTCTTTATCACAAATAATAAAAATTAAAAAGAAAAAAAAAACATTCAGGGAAAATCACCAACTAACATTATCCAAGTCTGATACGTGAAAAGGGGATTTATTTAAAAGAATTAGATTAAGAGCAGATGACTTAAGGGTTAGATTTCCTTTTCATGTTTCAGACACTTTTCCCCAGTCCATGGCACTGTTTAATATGCCAACATATGTTTTACAACAGAATCCCTCCAGGTCCTATGGTCCAATGCTCCATCCATCTGTGAGTAGCTGACTGTCATAACTTAAAACAAGATGCCATGTGTGTGGTTCTACTTTCCTGAATTATGTAAAATGTCCAAATATTTGAGTTGACCTAAAGTCAGTGAGTCAGCCGACAAACTGTGTTGATACTCTGCCTGTGTATCCAGCACTGTGCTAGGTCTTAAGAATACAAAGACAGGATGAAACAATCCTGGCTATCAAGGAGCTGACTTTCTGAGAGGGTAACAGCAAGTATGCATAAAACTACAGAGAATAAGAAAAAAAATAAATACAAGGCATTTAAATGAAAGATTGTAACAGTGGAGTGGGCCAAGGAAGGTTCTGCATTTTGAAGAATAAGGAGAGGGATTCTATGAGGCAGAGGAAGGCAGGGAGTACATGCTAGTGCATGACCCCAGACAGAGAAGGTGGGTGGGGAAGGAAGAAACAGCCAACAGAAGATTCCTCAGTCATCCACCTCTGGATCTTCTGGTTATATGACCACAGGCAAATAATTTAATCTCCTTATGCTTCAGTTTCCTCATCTATAAAATGGGGATAGTAATAAGTATAGTAACCATCTCAAAATGCTATTTAAAGGAGAATCATGTTAAATGACTTTAACAAAACATTTTGTAAATTTTTAAGTCCAATTCAAGAGGCAATTATTAATTGGCATTAATTAGGAGACGCTAGGTAGCACAGAGGTTGGAGCACAGGACTTGGAGACTTCAATTACACTTTAATTAGACTTTAATTCAAATCTTGCCTCAGGAACTTACTAGCTCTGTGACCCAGGGCAAGTCTCACATAGCCTTTCTGAACCTCAGTTTCCTCATTTGTAAAATGGGGATAATAATTAGCACCTACCTCATGGGGTTATGATAGGGGTCAAATGAGTTTGCCTATGTAGAATGCTTTGCACAACAATTTTGCGTCACATAAAGGCTATCTATATATTAATTAGTGCTCTATTGGTTGTTCTGTTATAAAGGATAATGGTTTTTTAACCTTGTTAGTTCTTGTCTTTGCTAAACACTGTCATTCCTTGAAAATATTGACTGAGCTGAGGTACTGGGATAATGCGCCAAAAGACACTGGTTTTGGATTCGGAAGACCTGGTTTGAGTCCTGGCTTGGACGCTTGCTTATTTTGTGACTTGGTTAAGTCACCCCAAATCTGAAGAATAGAGTTAATAATACTACCTGAACTACCTATAACCACCCTTTCCCATATTGTGAGAAACAACTTAGTAACATGTATTAAAAATACTTTGTACCCCTTAAAAGTACAATATTAGTATATATCATTATTGTTACAGTAACGGCTTATTGTTTTTAAACATTCCTGCAAAATCCAAGCTTACTAGCTCTTATTGGGTAGTGATGGCTAATATTTAAAAGCAAAAGTGAACCTCATGCTAAAGAAACCAGTGATTATATTTGAAAGCTGAAGATTGATCCTAATCAGGAATCTTTTTAATTCACTTCCTATGTTTCTGAACTTTCCCTAAGCTTTGATTTATAGTCATGATGTAGCCATATCATATCCCATCCCAACTGATTCAGAAATGAAGCTAGACTATACCCTCATTTTTATGAATATCAGTCTGTTGTCAGGTAAATCATGGCATCATAGCTGAAATTCTAGTACTGACATAAACAAGGATCTGAGTGAGGGTTGGGGGTAGGGGTAGAAAGGAAGGAAACATCTTTTCAATCTCTCCCTCATTGTCTTTTATCTTTTAAAAAAAATTGTTTAAAATTATTTTTAGGGGCAGCTAAGTGGCACAGTGGATGGAGCACTGGCCCTGAAGTCAGGATGTCCTGAGTTCAAATCTAGCCTTAGACCAAACACTTGACACTTACTAGCTGTGTGACCCTGGGCAAGTCATTTAACCCCAGTTGCCTAAATATATATATATATATATATATATATATATATATATAAATATATATATATATTTTTAACATTCTTTTTTTTAAATTTGAGTTCCAGATTCTCTCCCTTCCTCCCACTCTTCCCCCACTCAGTGAGAAGGCAAACAATATGATATTAATTATACATGTGAAATCATGCAAAATACATTTCCATATTAGCCATATCGCCAAAAAAAGAAGCAAAAAAACCCCAAGAAAATTATATTCAAGTTTGCAGTCAGAGATGAGAACATAAGTTCTCTCTCTAGAGGTGCATAGAATCTTTTTTCAGTCCTTTAGAATTGTGTTGGATCACTGTATTGATCCGAGTAGCCAAGTCTTTCACAGTTGAACATCGTTATAACATTGTTGTTACTGTGCACAATGAAACGCCCAGTTCTTCTTACTTGACTTTGTATAGCATCAGTTCATATAGGTCTTGCCATGTTTTTTTTTCTTTTTCTGAAAGCAGCCCCCTTGTCATTTCTTATCGCACACTCATACTCCCAACCCAATCCTATACCATAACTCATTAAGCTATTTCCCAATTGATGATCAGCCTATAAATTTCCAATATTTTGCCACCACAAAAAGAGCTGCTATAAATATATTTGTACATATAGGTCCTTTTCCTTTTCCTTTATTTCCTTTGTGGTACATACCTAGTAGTGGTATTGCCATGTCAAAGGAGGATGTGCAGTTTTATAACCCTTTGGACATAGTTCCAGGTTGTTCCCCAGAATGGTTGGATCAGTTCACTACTCCACCAACAGTTTATTAATGTACCTGTTTTCCCTCATGCCCTCCAGCATTTGTCATTTCTGATAAGTGTGAGGTGGTACCACAGAGTTAGTTTAAGTTGCCTTTCTGTAATCAATAGTGATCTAGGCCATTTTTTTCATATGACTTTAGATAACTTTGATTTCTTCTGAAAACTGCCTGTTCATATCCTTCGATCATTATCAATTGGGGAATATATATGTAAATTTGACTCTGTGTTGTTGTTCACTCGTTTCAGTCATGTCTGATTCATTATGAACCCATTTCAGCATTTAGGGTTTTCTTGGTAGAAATACTGGAATGGTTGCCATTTCTTTCTCCAGCTCATTTACAGATGAGGAAACTGAGGCAAACAGGGTTAAGTGACTTGTCCAGGGTCACACAGCTAGTAAGTATCTGAGGCCAGGTTGGAACTCATGAAGATTAGTCTTCCTGATTCCAGGCCCCGTGTTCTATCCACTGCACCACCTAACTGCCCTTAAATTGGCTGAGTTACCTATATACTTGAGAAATGAGGCCTTTATCAGAGAAACTTGCATAAAATTTGTTGGTATAATTTCATTATCTGTGGTACATTTTAGCAAAATGTAATTCCCCGATTATCTCTTTCAATTAGGTCTATTTTTGCTTTTGCTTTGTCTGAGATCATGATTGGCACTCCTGCCCTCTTCGCTACAGCTGAGGCATAACAGACTCTGTTCCGGCCCTGCATTTCCACTCTGTGTGTGTGTCTTTCTGTCCTAATTGTGTCTCTTGCATGCAACGTAACTGTTGGATTTTGCTTTCCAATCCATTCTGTTCTCTGCTTTCATTCTATTGGTTAGTTCATCTCATTCATATTTACTGTTATGATCACTTAACTCTATATTTCCCTCCAACCCATTTTCTTCCGTTTATCTTTCTCTTCTCTTTTTATCCTGTCCCGTTTCAAAAGTCTGCCTTGCTTCAGACTACTGCCTCCCCTAATCTGTTCTCCCTTTTATTTCCCTCCCCCTCCATATCTCTTATCCCCTTTCCTTCATATCTCCCTATGAGAGAAGATATATTTCTGCACCCAACTGAGGGTGTATATATACTCTTCCCTTTTTGAACCAGTTCCAATGAGAGAAAGGCTCCAACCCCCCATTTTCCCCTCTACTATAGTTCTTCCTTGTATACCTCCTTATGTGAGAAAATTTTCCCCATTCTACCTCTGCTTTCCCCCTTCTCCCTTTTTCTTTTATTTTTCGTAATAGCTCAAAATATTAAGCAATTAATAATAATGCATAGAGTATTAAGGTTTAACAAATACTTTACATGCATTATCTCATTTGATTCTCAAAACAACCCTGTGAGTTAGGTGCTATTATTATCCTCATTACAGATGGGGAAACTGAGGTTCAGAAAAGTGTTTTGATTCAGCTAGGGTTAAGATTCATCTACAGCTTTCAGGTGGCTGAGATATCATTTGAACCTCTTTTGAAGTCTAACTCTCTATCCACTATGTCATGCTTCCTCTCATATCTTTTTCTTTGTAATGCTAACCTCTTTGTTTCATTTCCAGGGTGAAGAAGGGAAGGAAGGTAAAGATGGAAAGCCGGGCCCGCCTGGAGAACTAGTAAGTAACTGAATTATTTGGCAACATGAGTCACTGGAGTTAAGTAGAAATAGTATGCTTGGTTATTGTAAATTTTGTGGAGGGGATTTCTGCCCAGGAATAGCTTAGACCAGATATTCCATAATTCTCTAAACAAGTCATGTTTGCCACACTGGCATGAGCCCCACTCTCCCTGTGAGACTATTGTATGCAAAATGAACAAACAGAAAAGAGATTCATAAGAATTGAGACTTGTTAGATAATTTTGAAATCATAAGGTCCAACCCTATTCCTTTCCCACCCATTTTAAAGAGGAGGAAACTGAGGATGAGAAATGTTAAATGCCTTATTAGAGACAGCTAGGTGCTCAGTGGATAAAACACTGGACCTGGGGTCAGGAAGTTCTGGATTCAATTCTGGCCTAAGGATTCAAATCTGGCCTCAAATTTTAAATAACTTTGCTAGGTTAGAGATGTCAAACTCATGCCTTGAGGGCCGCATGCAACTAGCAAAATTTCTGAGTGTGACCCAAACCAGATTAAAATGTAATTGAGAAGTATTTAACAAAATAAATAAACTATTTAACAAGTTAAATAAACTAACTAGCTAACCAGATTAAAATGTAATTGAGAAGTATTTAACAAAATAAATAAACTAACTATAAATAAACTAACTAACTGAAATAAAATAAACTATGTGACCCTGGCTAAGTGACTCTATCTGCCTCAATTTCCACATCTATAAAATGGGGATAATAATAACATTGTCCTCCCAGAGTTGTTATAAGGATCAAAGGAGATAACTGTAAAGCTCTTACCACAGTGCCTGGCACATAGTAGTTGCTTAATAAATGCATGTTTCCTTCCTTATTCAAGGTCAAACCATGATCTTGGTAAATCTAGTTAGTGGTAGAGCTAGGCCTGTAATCTTGGTCTCATGGACTGTGGTCTAGTGCTTTTTGCGCTTCACCACGTTGTCCATTAGAATCGGACCAGTAAAGCACCAGTAAAAGGCAGTGAATGATGGCAGTGATCCAAGGCTGAGGCTTAGCTGGGCGTTATCCTTGACATGACAAGGGGATTAAAGTTCAAGAGAGGAGGACAGTATAGAGTTGAATTGGTTCACCAAGAGGTCAAGATAGGGAAAACAAGAGAGAGTAGTTAGAGTAGGGGAGATGTTCTCTAGAGAGAATTGAGGGATCAAGGGATTGGAAATCACAGCATGGACAAACAACAGGGTTTTGTAAGGGAAAGTAGAGGAAGAGGTGCACAGCCAATAGATTACGGTTGGATAGGGGGATTTCAGAATTCTAAAACATAGAGATGGGTGCTACATTTGTGGGTGATGGCAAGATCAAGGATATGACCATCTTTGTATTCATCTGAGTTGGGATAGAAGAGCAGCTTATGAGAAGTGAATAGGTTGAAGAGCTAAGAGAGTGGTTGAAGTGTTTGAGAGACAATAAATATATAGGTTGAAATCCCTTAATATGAGGGCAGGAGTTGGAGAGGAAACACTGTGAGCCAGGTATCAGGTAGCAAGTGTCTGATGCTGGTTTTGAACTCAGGTCTTCCTAACTGTGGGCCCAGCACTCTGTCCAATGTACCAGTTTTAGGAAGACCCTGGAGCCCAGAAAGGTGGCAACAACTTGCCTGTGGCCAAGCCAGGACTGGAATCATAGGATCTTTGTGTCCAAGATGAAAGGGGCCTCAGGAACCATCTAATCCAACTCCCTTGTTCTATAGAACCAGAAACTAAGGCCCCTAAATGCCTTTTCCCCCCCAAATACATGCATTTTCCCAAATGATTTCACAGTAATTACTAAAAACATCCTTGTGTAGAAGAAATAATGGAAGAAAATGGTGTTTAGACATCAGATATTTCCCCTACCTTTTCATGGCCCTGCCAAATTTTGCTGAAAACATTTGAAGTACCCATTATGTGCAGAGCTTTGTGCTATATGGTAGGGGGGATATAAAGGTAAGTCAGTCATGTCTTCTGAATTCAAGGAGCTTATAGCCTGGTAAGAAGTATAAGAAACATAAAGAAATATTTATAATTAGAAATAGCATGAGATATGAAAACAAATAGCTATATTACTATAGAGCTAGAAGAGAGCATGGAGGTGATCTAGGTCCTGATTAGTATACATAATGGCAGCTAGGTGGTATAGTGGATAAAGCACCAAGCCTGGAATCAAGAAGACTCATCTTCCTGAGTTCAATCTTGCCTCAGACACTTACTAGCTATGTGAGCCTGGGCAAGTCACTTCACCCTGTTTGCCTCAGTTTCCTCATCTGTAAAATGAACTGGAGAAGGAAATGGCAACCCACTACAATATTTTTGCCAACAAAACCCCCAATGGGATCACATTAAGTCAGATACAACCAAAACTACTGAATAACGATGACCAACAGTGTGAATAACGAATCTGTTAGGTGGTCACATTCCCATTGGCCTTGAACCAGTTGCCATACTGTGCATATTTATAACTTCTAATAGTGAAAATTCAAATGCATTCAATCACTTCGTGGGATTCATTATTCACACTAATCAGGACCTAGAAGGGAAAGATGACTTCTGACTAAGGAGATCAGGGAAGGTTTTACTGAGCAGGTTTTGAATCAGAAATTGAAAGATGGGTAATATTTCAGCAGGTGGCAATAGGGATAAAGTGCATTACATATTAGAGGACAAGGTGAGCGTAGGAATGAATGAAGCAGAGCATGGAATGTATACAAGGGATAGGGGCTGGCTAGTCATTTTTTTTTGTATTTAATAAGTACAGGACAGTAATAGAGAAAAGATCTTCATTTTCAATTAAAAAATGTGTTAAGGACCTACTGTGTACAGAAACATTTTACTATGCAGCTGAAATGTAAAAATGAAAGTCAATTCAGGCTCTCAATAGGCTTATAATCTAGTGAGATGGGAGATGCAACATAGAATATAGACAACTGGAATGCAAGTTAGACTATGATTAAACGCTATTGGGAAGGTCACACATAGAGGAATAAGAGATTAATGGAGGGAGAGATCATTTCTGACTTGGGTGATAAAAGGTTTCCAGAAGGAAGTGGCACCTGAGCTGGGCCTACAAAGAAGAGAATTTCAATAGGCATGGATACATAGTAATGCTATTATTGATGAGGATAGTTTATCCCAATTGCCATAGAAGCAAAAGGTTTATAAATGCTATGGTACGAATTCCTTTCTCTCCTCTTTCTTTCCCCTGTCACTTCAGGGTCCTTCAGGAGAACCAGGCCTTCCAGGACAAGATGGTGCCAGAGGACCACCTGTAAGTACCAAAATATTTTGTCTATGATAAATCTTATTTGACAAGTTGAGTAGCATTGGTAGACACTGGCATTTAATGACAAAATAAGCCTTATTCTCTGAATGTCAGGTTGGAAATTAGGTGTGGATAAATATTTTAAGGAACATTATGTAGTTTGCATGAGCAGGGGGAGGAATGTGGAGAATTATATCCCTCATCCTAAGCACATGTATAAGATGACATCACATTTACCTTAGTAATAGCCATGTCTATTTATACATGATAGAATGAAGGGTTTCCATTCGGACATGTGGTTCCATAGCTACAGGGTTATAACCAAGATTTCAAGAATGAGGATGGTGACTCAGAGACAGAAGATGTTAGTAATAAGTGATTTGTCAGGGCCAGAGCTCACAGCACATAGAATCAAGGTCATGTAATCTTTGAAATTTAGGTGTGGAATTGATCTCAAAGATATTCTAATCCAATTTCTTCACTTGACAGGTAAGAAAACTAAAGCCCAAAGCAGTAAATGGATTTGCCCAATGTCATACCTCTAGTTAAACAGCTAGGTGGTACAATGGGTAGAGCATTCAACTTTAAGTCAGGAAGACCTGAATCTTCATGAATTCAAATCCTGTCATAGACAACACTTACTAGCTATGTGACCATGAGCAAATCATTTAATTCTTGAGAGCCTGAGAGTCTTCATTTGTGAAACAGGAAAAATAGTTGTGCCTGTATCACAGGATTACTGTAAGGACAAAATGAGGTGACGATGATGATGATGATACTTAACATTTATAAAACACCTACTCTGTGTCAGGCATTGTGCTAAGTGTTTTACAATTATTGTCCCATTTGATCCTCACAATAACCTGATGAGGTAGGTACTATTATTATTACCATTTTACAGTTGAGAAAACTGAGGTAAATTGAGGTTAAGTGACTTGCCCTAGGTCACATAGCTAGTAAGCATCTGAAGCTAGATTTGAATTCAGGGCTTCCTAACTCCAGGCCTGGTACTCTATCCACCTAGCTATGTAAGTATTTCTTATTGTTGTTGTTCAGTTGTTCGAGTCATGTCCCACTTTTCATGATCCCATTTGGGGTTTTCTTGGCAATGATACTTGAGTGGTTTTGCCATTTCCTTCTTCAGCTCATTTTACAGATAAGGAAGCTGGGTTAAATGACTCACCCAGGGTCACATAAATAGTAAGTGTCTGAGACCAGATTTGAACTCAGGAAGATGAGTCTTCCTGACTTCAGGCCTCACTCTATCCACTGTACTGTATAGCTGCCCCTATATAAATGTTAGGTATTATAATTGTTGTCATCATTATTATTATTTTTTTTTTTTGGTGAGGCAATCAGGGTTAAGCGGCTTACCCAGGGTCACACAGGTAGCAAGGGTCAAGTGTCTGAGGCCGGATTTGAACTCAGGTTCTCTTGACCCCAAGGCTGGTGCTCTACCCACTGCGCCACCTCGCTGCCCCTGTTATCATTATTACTATCCAGTGGCCAAGGAACTATTGAAGAAATGAAAGCAGAGAAATCCTAGGATAGACCTAGAGTTGGAAGACATTTTAGGGTTTGTGTTCTCCAACTACTTCCTTGAAGTCCTTATTTTATTTTACCTCCAGGTAAGCAAATAAGATGAAATCTGATCATTATTATTCATCTCTTTTCAAGTCACCTTCCTGTATAGAGAAACATTTCACATTCTACTCTTAGAATCTTGGATCTAGTAGAAGAATCCAAGAGCAAGGTAGAAAATGATTTGGCTACTTCAACTGTCCAGATACTTGTCCTACATTCTTCTAGCCCAGGAAGGTTTTCAGAGTTTTGTGTGTGTGTGTGTGTGTGTGTGTGTGTGTGTGTGTGTGTGTGTGTGTGTGCATGTGTGTGTGTGAGATTGCGTGCTTTTGCAGAGGCACCTGACCTCCACTATGACTATAAAGATATAGGGTACAGTTGTGTATTGCCCCATGATATGCCTTTGTTCTAAGAGGCTGATCCTTTGCCTTTAGAGATTCTATCACTAACTTCCAGAAGGAAAATGGACCAGGCTAGTATAGGAAAAGACAGTATGGTGGACTGGTTTGGAATGAGTAAAAAAATTGGGCTCTGCCAAGGATAAGAGTAAGAAGGTAAATGGCCATGTTATGCCATGATGCCCACATATATAGTATAAGAATTTCTTCCTCTCAAGGAATTTTGTTCCTGAAAAATTTAATTCTTTTTCTTCTAGGGATTCAAGGGACATACAGGAGACTCTGGTCCACCTGGCCCTAGGGTAAGTCAGTCACTTGATATTAGAATTATGAATGGGCAGGCTCTTGTAAAATCCTCAAGCTCAGACTTTCTGACTCTGGACAGAACTAAACTCAGTCACCTCAGACCGTTTAAAATCCACTTCCTCTTGTCAAGTACCTTGTCATTCCAGAAGGTGACAGTGGGCTTTCCAATATAACTGGTTTCATAAGATACCACATCTTCTCCACCTGGTTCTTCTAGATATCTTGTTTTAAAAGACAGAGTTTGATATAAGAATGAATCCAGACAAATAGAGACTTTGTCAACGACAGTCTTTATCGATGATATCAAATAACTACTCCGTGTGCCTGGCACAGAAATGGGGATATAGTATGTGCTCAATAAATACTGATTTATTTATTGATTGGAAAACTTCTCATTGAGAAATACCACATTATTTTAGTCAACAACACTAACATCACCCTTAATTTTAAGTAAATTGAGTAAGTATACCTTGAGCACCAACTATATATTCAGCAAGAATTTATTAAGTACTTATTAGATACCAGGTACTGAGGATATGCTACAAAACCAAAACAAAACAGTTCCTCTCCTCAAAGAGCATGTAGTCACATGATAATGTGCCTCTCTGAGTATATAGACCGTCCCAAAGAGCAGTTTTTAAGCTTTTAAAGCTTGGAACACCCTGAATGTAGAATAGACACAAAATGGAGTGCACTCATAGTTGGGGTGTGGGGGAAGGATAAAGAAAGGCTTTGTGGAGAAGCTGGTTCATAAGCTGAGTCTTGAAGGATACCATGGGATTCCAAGACTTGAAGGGACGCATGCCACAAAGTTGGTGCGAAGGTAAAAAGACAGGAAATGGAAGGTGTATCATTTGTAAGAAGCAGTAAGTAGGACTTTCTGGTCAGCTCACAGAATGCTTGGGAGAGAGTCATGTGGGAAAAGTCTGGAAAGGGATGACAGTCTAGGTTGCAAAAAGATTTGAATGCATAGGGAGCAGGTAATATCTGATCTTACAAGTAGTAAGGGAGCTACCATAGTTTACTGAGTAGAGAAGTCACACAATAAGACCAGTGCTTTAGGATATTTATTTTGGCAGCTCTGAGGAAGATAGATTGGCCCTGGGCTAGAATAAAACAATGAAAAGTAGCATAATATTTGTCCTCAAGAGCCTACAGTATCAGACATGTACACATATAAATATAAAGGAAATGATAGATGTAAAAGAGAGAGCCATAGAAACCAATACTAGTTCTGATACAGATTTAGAGGGACACTTCACACTTTAAATAATGATAAGCTCCAGATAGACAAGTGATCTAGATAGAAAAGATCATATCATATTAGAAAAATATAGAGGGAAATACCTATCAGATCTATTGGATAGAAGAAAAGCATGGTACTAAATAAGGCATAGAGAGTTGCAGAGAAGATAAAAAGAATAATTTTGATTATTTCATAATTGATTACATAAAATTAAAATGTCTTTACACAAACAAAACAAAATTAAGATTAAAAGGGAAGAAATTAACTGGGGGAAATCTTTGCAGCATGTTTCTCTGATAAAGGTTTTATTTCCAAGATATATAAGGAACTGATTCAAATTTAAAAGAATGAGAACTATTCCTCAATTAACAAATGGCCTGAGAATTTGAACTGGGAGTTCTTAAGGGAAAAAAAAATCCAGGCTATATATAGCGATATGAAAACAAAATAAAAAACAAAAAAGAAAAATGCCTTGTCCCAAATTGCTATTAATTAAAAATGCAAATTAAAGTAATTCTGGGCAATTCTACCTCCCACCTATCAGCTTAAGTGACTTTCCCAGGGTCACAGAGCCAATAAGAGTCTGAGACTAGATTTGAATTCAGGTCTTTCTTACTCCAGGTCCAGCACAGCAGTCAGTGTACCACCCAGCTGCCCCAATAATATATAAATGTTTATAATGTAAAACCAAAGCACATTAATAAAATTAAAAGAAAAAAAGGAAATTGATACAAAATATTTGAAAAGGGAGAGAGAGATCTTTTGCATCCAGAAAATCATATGAAGATCAACCGAAGAACTAGGGAAATTTAGCGTAGACAAGAAAAGACTGAGAAAGAGCTAATGGCTACCTTCAAAAATAAGCCTTGTCACGTGGTAAAGGTTCAATTTATTCAGCTTTGTCTCAAAGGGCAGAGCTGGGAGCAGTGGATGGAATCTGCAAAGAGGGAGGAAAGGAAGTGATTAAGTATTTGTATAGCACCTATATGTATATATAATGCCAGGCACTATACTAAACACTTAATTTTTTATTCAAATTTTATTCTTTACCAATTACATATTAAAATAATTTTTAACATTTTTAAAAGTTTTGAGTTCCAAATTCTATCCTCCCTCCCCCTCCTCCTCACTGAGATGGTAAGCAATCTGATATAGTTTATACATGTGCAATCCTATAAAACATTTTAATATCAGTCATTTTTTACAAGAAGACTTATAAAGGAGAGAGAGAGAGAGAGTGAGAGAGAGAGAGAGAGAGAGAGAGAAAGAAAGAAAGAAAGAAAGAAAGAAAAAGAAAGAAAGAAAGAAAGAAAGAAAGAAAGAAAGAAAGAAAGAAAGAAAGAAAGAAAGAAAGAAAGAAAGAAAGAAAGAAAGAAAGAAAGAAAAACAGCATGCTTTAACTTGTATTCAGATAGTATCAGCTCTTTCTCTGGAGGCAGATAGCATACTTCATCAGAGTCTTTTGGGATTATCTTGGATCACTGTATTGCTAAGAATAGCTAAATCATTCACAGATTTGCATCATAAAATATTGCATTTACTGTGTACGATGTTCTCCTAGTTCTGTGAACTCCACTTTGCATCAGATCATATGGGTCTTTCCAGATTTTTCTGAAATCATACTGCTTGTCATTTCTAAATCACAATAATATTCCGTCATAATCATATACCATAGCTTGTGCTGAGCACTTTATAAATATTATCTCATTTGTTCCTTACCACAACCCTACGAGGTAGGGGCTAAAGCTATTATGTTATGACTTATGATTTCAATTAAAAAATCAGTTAACAAGATTTGTTTTAGGCGTACTATGCACCAAACATTATGCTAAGTATAGAGGTATACAAAGAAAGTAAATAAATATACATATGTAAATATGTGTGAATGTATATATATACGTATATATACATATATGCATATACATACATATATACATGTGTGTGTGTGTGTGTGTGTGTGTATACACACACACACATATATATAATTCCTACGCTAAAGGAGCTCACATTCTAATGGAGGAAATCACGTACAAAGAATCACATACATACACACTAGATACAGCATAGATGAGAGGCAATCTCAGAGAGAGGGAACTAGAAGTGGATGAGGGTACTGTGAAAGGCCTCTTGCAGTAGACATTTTATGAAGCACCTGCTATGTCCAACATCTGGTATTTAGTTTGAGGAATACAAAGAACCCAGCCCTGAAAGTGCTATCAGTCTTCTTGAAAGATAAGACATTTCTGCAAATAATCACAATATGAGAAAATCTAATACGTGCAGAGAAGGGGTCCAGAAAAAAAGCCATGAGAAATTTAAGAAGGGAAAGGCAACTTCCACCTGGAAATCATATAGTCTAAGTGTCTCATTTTGCAAACTGCACTCAGAGAGGTGAGGTGACATGGCCAGTATCACACAGGTAGTAAATGGCACAGCCATGATTTGAATCCCGCCCACCCACCATTTTTTTTGTCTACTGTGCCATGTCTACAGTAGTTAAAATTCATAGCAATGCTGGGGACATTTTCCATTTGATCACGGTATAGAAAGTGATGCTTAGAGATGTTAAGTGCCTTGTTCATGGTGATAGAATCATTAGTGTCATAGATTTTGAGCCGTCAGAGATGAGGTACCCAAGGGTGCGGTCCAATTTTCCACTGGGTTAGAGATTGTTGGAGAATAGGGCCATTATAAGAAGATAGACTTTTTTTTCTCAAAGTACTAATGTGATCTTTTTGAAAAATCTCACTTCTGTCTTGGGTTCAGTAAAGAAAATAAAGGGGATCTCATACTGAGGCAAAGTTCTGATCGGTCTGGCAGCAGAGAGTGAAGAATCCACTGATTGTCAACTCACAGATGCCATCCAGTAAAGGGTTAGCAATAGGCAAAAATGCCAGCTGAGCTTCGGCTGGGATAGGATTTTGACATTCTGCCTTGGAGTGCTTCTGTCATAATTTTATCATGTAGGAAAGCATAGTGTACACACACACACACACACACACACACACACACACACACACACACACGCACACTCAGAAATATCTATCAAGTCTTTTACCTGTACCCCTCAATTTCTTTTCCCAGGTAACTCCAAAGGAACACCTTCTACAGTAACAGGTATTCTACCCCCATCTCTTGTTTTAATTAAGATCTTCTCCTTGTTTTCTTTTCTTACAGGGAGAGCCAGGAACACCAGGTCCTGCAGGCAGAGAAGGGTCACCAGGGAAAGATGTGAGTGCACTGCCTATCTGTTGGGGATAGGGTAGGGGAAAGAAGTTTCATCTCAGGATTGCACATTATTACCCCAGATCTAGCATCCAAGGTCACAAAGATTGTGGTTGAGCACAAACCATTATGGGTTCTCAGAATCCATGTCATGGACCATCAGACACAGTTTGAAACTACTGATGGTCCAAGCCATTCTTTACATCCTCCGTGATGAAGATAAAATGTGGGCCTGAAAAGCTGGGGAAATATTTCCTGGGTGAGGCATTCACATTGAGGAAGGCATCGACACGGAAGGATGAGCACCTAGATTATTTCATATTTTGAATGTTGAAAGATTTTAGCCTTTCCACTGAGTTACTTCCCTATTCTCATTCCTTTCTAGTCTTATGTTATAACTGCATATGTGTTATTAATTTTTTCCCTTTGGTTTATGGTTTTTCATGGTTAAAGTATCATCAAGTAGCCAGGAGCCTTCTTATTTTTAGCAGTCACCAAGCATTTATTAATCACCTACAATGAGCTAACTTTTTTGGCTTCCTTTAAGTTCAAGCTAAAATCCCATCCTCAAGATGGGATGTCTTTTCTGATACCCATTAATATTAATCCCTTCCCTCTGCGGATTATCTCCAAACTATGTTGTACATAACTTGTTTATGACTAGTCGTTCACACATTGTTTCCCCCATTAGAATGTAAATTCTTTGAGAGCAGGGACTGTTTTTTGCCTTCCTTTGTATTCCCAATGCTCAGCATAATGCTTGAGACATAGTAGGTGGTTAATAAATGTTTGTTGATTGTAGCGCTTCTTGAACTATGAGTCTTGAGTGGAGAAAGTTTAAGAAGCTCTGGACTGAATGACTCCCAGGCACTATGCTAAGCAGTCAGGGATGTAAAGAAAGACAAAAACATGATTCCTGCCCTAAGAAGCTAACATTTTAATGCCAATCACAGCATGCAAAAAAAGCATTGCACACACAAGATATTTACTGTGACAATGAGAGGTAATCACAGACAGAAGGCAATAGCTGTTGGGTGTGTGGGAGGATACCAGGGAAAGCTGTTTGCAAAAGGTGAGATCTAGGATGAGTCCTAATGCAAACCAGAGAAGCTAAGATGTAGAGGTGAGGAGGGAAAAAACATTCCAGGCATGAGGGATAAGCAGTGCAAATGCATATCTGGAGATGGTGTGTCTTCTGAAAGGGACAGTAAGAAGGCCGGTGTCACTGGATCTTGGAACATGTGGATGGGAGCAAAGTGTAAGAAGGTTAGAAAGGTAGAAAGGGATCAGGATGTGAAAAGCCATCAGAGCCAAATGAGAGTTTCATATTAAATCGTGTAGGTAAATTTAACTATGCTCACCTTTGAGAAGGAGGTTATATGTTGCCAGGGCCATGCTGGAAACTTTTTACAGCACTTCCTCACAATAGTCCTATGAGACAGATAGCATAAATATTAATGTCTCTATTGTATAGATGAGGAAAATTAGGCCCAGAGACTTTAATTGAGTGGCCCAAAGTCATACAGCTAAATGGTTGTATAAGTCAGAATACTACCCAGGGTTCCAAATTTCCGGTTAAGTTCTCTTTCTATTATACCATTGTCTCAGGGGAGAAAGGAAAGGGCACTCTATTCTGAGACTAAAGAGTCAGGTTTCAAGGAAACAAGAATTAAAAAAAAATAAGGATATAAATAAATTCTAGGCATCATAGATTTAAGTATGGAAAGGACTTCAGAGGTCATTGAGTCTAACTCTTCTCAATTTATGGGTAAGAAAAGTGAGACAGAGAGATTCAGTGACATACCTGTAGTCAGAAAGCTAGTAAGTATCTGAGGTGGGGTCCAAACCCAGGTCTTTCTGACTCCAAATCCAATGACTTATCCATTTTACCAGCTTGCCTATAGAGTATACCTTTCAGTCAGTACAGAAAGATAAATCTCCTATACTTTTAAAATCTTCTAAGATCTATAGAAGGAATAGACCTTAAATATTTTATAATATAATCTAGTCATTTCACAGATAGGGAAACTGAGGCCTTAAGAGGTTAAGTGATTTTTATAGGATCATAGAGCTTACATGCAATGATGCTTGACTTCTGATTCCAAATCTGGTGCTCTTTGAAGCATAAGCCAAATGAAATAAAAACCAATGACATGTGATCAGTAGAGTCAGTAACAGTAGTTGATGAGAAACTTGGAAGTCATCTATTCTACCTTGGGGTAGAGGGAAGTAGATTTCAGCTCGATATAAAACAGACAAACAAAAAGGGAAACCTAACACTTTGCAGTAATCTTGACTGTCCAACAATATGAATGACTGTCTTCTAATGTAGTGAGCTCTCCAGCACTAAATCTATCTCTTAAATGATGCTATATTAGAAAGAGCACTGGATTTCACATTAGAAGACCTGGCTTTGAAATCTGTCTCTGCCACTTGCCACATTTGGGACCGTAGCAAGTTGCTGTATTTTCTCCAGACCTCATTTTCCTCATCTATAAAAGAAGAGGGCTCAGTCAGGCGATCCCCAAGGTCCTCTAAAATCTTATGATCTTTTTATTTACCTATTAATCATTTTTGTTGTTGTTGTTGTTTGTTAAACATTTTACATTTGCATTTGATAATTTGGGTTTCTCATTAAGCCTTCTTCCTGTTTCTCATTAGAATCTGCTCCTTTTTTTATCCGCGCTGGGCCCAGAGCTCAATGTTTTCTTTCAGGGATGCTGTAGGCTCTCTTATCCATGTCACTCTTTTATATACCTTTGTCTCTCCCTGAGATTATCTTTGCATTAATAATTGGATGTCTTATTTTCTTTTTCTAGGGTGACACTGGACCCACAGGGCCCCCAGGTGCTCAGGGACTTAGGGGAATCCCGGTGAGTTGTCTTTTTTCTTTTGGCAGCTATTTCAGTTTATCGGCAGAATCACCCCAAAGCAGATGTGAGAGACCAGGAAATAACAAGATTTTGTCTATTTAGAGAGCTTACCTCACAAAACTCTTTTTGATATAGGCAATATGAATATAATTATTTCCATTTTACAGGTGGAGAAACTGAGACCCCCAAAATGAAAGTAACTTAACCGAGGTCATACAAGCTAAAAAGTGCCACCTGAATTCATATCTATCTCTTTTTTCTGTGGCACCACATATTCTCTCCATATATAGTGTGCTCTCCCTTCTCTTTTCCATCATTGCCTTTATTCATGGGAAATCAAGTTAAGATAAATATCAGCAACAGCTTGGAAAGGTGAAATATTAAAGAGTAACCTGAGGGAGGCATGTGCAAGAAGGTAGCCCTACAAGTTTGCGTGTACTTAGTTGTTGTGGGAGGCTTAGGAACTGATGTATATGTATGTACATAAATGTTAGCTCCCTTTTTTGGCACTGGCTGGTGGGGCCACTTCCCTTTCTCCCATCAGCTTCCTCCATGGGTCACTACCCCTAATCAGGGGTGGGGAACCTGCAGCCTGGAGGCCACATGTGGCCTTCTAGGTCCTTTGGGTGTGTCCATTTGAATGAGTCTAAGTTTTACAGAATACATCCTTTTATTAAGAGGATTTGTTCTGTGAAGTTTGGATTCGGTCAAAGGGCTGCACTTGAGGACCTAGAGGGCCACATGTGGCCTTGAGGCCACAGGTTCCCCAACCCTGAGCCAGATCTTAGCAGATCTCAACTGTCCAAAGTATAGACAAAAAGTTACCAGACCTTAGGAATGGCCCTGCTTTACAAGGTTCTGGAGTGGCAAGGGTGTTCTGAGAGCACATGATCCAAGTTACATTCTAAAATCTCTGGAAGATTCAGAAGTGGTGGGTTTGGGTCAGTTTTATTTTATTTGGGGGTAAAGGGAGAATCCAGATCTGTGATTTCATCAATGTAGGGAGTTCAAGGAGGAGACTTCCTACCAGTACAAATCAATAACTGTTCTACAACAAAGTTACCTGAGGCATTAAGAGGGCAAGGGGCTTGCCCAGGGTCATAAGATATGTAGTATATGTTAGGACTAGGACTAGCACTTAGATCATCTTGATTCTGAGGCCAGTTCTTTATCTCCTACACCAGGAGTTCCCAGCGGTTTTAGGTCCTTATGTCGCTTGGCTTTTAGTAAACCTTCTTGAACCCCCATTTAATATGAAAGGAAATAAGTGCTAGCATTTACCAAGTAGTCAATAAACATTTATTAAGCACCCGCTATGTGCCAGGTAGCACATATGGGACAGGGAGGTGGCACAGTAGAGGGAGTGCCAGGCCTGGAGTCAGGAAGACTCATTTTCCTGAGCTCAAATCCAATCTCTGACATTTCCTAGCTATGTGATCCCGGGCAAGACACTTAATCCTGTTTGCTTCAGTTTCCTCATCTGTAAAATGACCTGGAGAAAGAAATGGCAAACCACCTCAGTATCTCTGGCAAAGAAAATCTCAAATGGGGTCACAAAGAGTCAGACACAGTTGAAAAGCTATTGTTCCAACATGTGCTGGACACTGGGTTAAGTGCTAGTGATACAAAGAAAAGTAAGGACAATCCTGGCTCTTAAGGAGCATAAAGAATATTGCACTTCAGTAATAAAACACATTCATTAATTTCAATAGGATAACATAGTGATTTATAGTCTAAAGGATCTGAACATAAGAAATAAAGATAAACATTAATTTCAATAGGATAATATAGTGATCTACTAAATATTCCCTCTACCCCCTTATTTTGCATTTAAAAAAAGGAAGAAAATGGGATGGGAGGGATTGGTATCACAGTGGTAGAATAGAGTGATTGCATTCTTTTTTTTTTTTTTGAGTGGTTGCATTCTTAGCTATATTTTTCTCCCTACAGGGTAAAAATGGATCACCCGGCTCTCCTGGAGATCCTGGCCAACCAGGTAACCCAGTAAGTACCTGTCAAATGCCAGAGAAAGGAAGAAATAAGTAACTCGCCAAATCCAAACCTGCTGCAATCCATAGCTTTTGGTTCCCCACTTCACAAGGACTAGGCTAGGTCCCATTCTCTTGTACATCGAGTCTCTCCACAGGCTGCTACTGGATGAAGGGGAAGACTCAGTTCCTCTTTCCACCACAGCATCAGCTTTATCTCACGCAGCCCCAAGAAAAGGGCACATTGTTCCACAGCCAAGGAAACCAGAAGGGGGTAATTGGACTGATTGCACATTACCTCAGGCAGAGGAAGTAATGAGTCTGCCTATCATCTCAAGATGTATTATGGGCACTGCAAACAGGCAGCCTCCCAGTGGGGAGCAGAACAAATGGGAATCTTCAGACTAAGAGCAGAAAGACTTAGTGTTCAGCCACTGGCAGTGGAGAGAAACGCCAGTAAAAGAAGCCTACTGAAGGCTTCTGGGAATGGTCAGGACAAAGCAAATCCTAAACAGCTTTCCAAAGAGACTTCAGAAGTAATAACCTATTACTATGCATAAAATTGCTAATGCATCTCTGACTGCCAAACACAGTCCACCCCCAGCTTCAAACATTAGCTTCCCTAATTGGGTTAGGAGTATTAATACTATTGGTGGATGGATGGGTGTGTGCACACGTGCTCTTGAGCATGTGCCCACACACACACACACACACACACACACACACACATACGCATTTTCTTTTTCTTTTTTAAATAAAAAACATCATTGAATTAGATTCTTAGGATCCCAGAGCTAGAAGCAACCTCTGAGATCATGCAGTCTACTACCTACCTAAGCAAGAATCCTCTTTCAGAATTATTGCATTCTGTGATTTTATCATTCCCAGCAAGTGGTCAGCCAGAAGATAGCTATCCAAATGCGTGTGTTCTAATGATGTTGCCATTTTTCAAAGCACTTCTGGACCTCTATTTGTAAAAAGAAGTCTTCAAAGCCAGTCAGGGACCACTGGGGAAAGTCAGTCCCATTTATGTATAGTCATACATCATTTTTATCCAAAATGCTGTTTTCCTGTGTGTCTCCCCCCCACCCTCCCTGCCCCATCCGCATCCCTCGGGGTTGTCTCTAGGCGTCTTTTGGCTTTTTCTCAAAGTTAAATCCATCCTGTTAAAAAGAATTTGTTATTAAAAATAATTTGCAGATCTTTCCCACATTTCAGCAGTTTGTTGTCCTGTTTCCATTTTCACCTTAAATGTTCTCAAGATAAATTCAGTTAGTTGAGTTTCTTACTAAGCTTTTTTCTTTTAGTTGGTTTTTCCCTCCACTGCTTTTCACCATTTTATGATGTGATGATCCCTATAATAATGCACTTATCTACTTTATGATATTTTAGAAATAAACTTACATTCTGAATTTAAAAAAAAATCTATCCTGAAAGGATGCAGGATTGTAATGGACACTGGCTTTGGAGTCAAAAGCCCTAAGTTCAAAACCTACCACTGATGCTCACTGCTGATGTGACTTTGGTTAAATCCCCAAACTGTGGGCCTCAGATTCCTCATCTTTCAAATGAAGATGTTGGATAAAATGGCTTCTTACATCCTTGCCAGATCTATGTCTCTGATCCCATGATCCCGTGACTCAAAAAAATATGCTTTTCTGTTTTGCATTTCTCTAATGAACCTACTGTGTATTGTTATATATTATAATTATCTGTATGTGCCCAGGTAAGCTTAAGTCCAGCCCTACTAGACTGTAGGTTCCATAAGGGCAGGGACTGTATTTTGGATAAAGTACATATGTCCCTGGCACTCAGCAGAGTACTCTACATAGAGCAACGATTTAATGTCTGCTATATTCAATTTAATGATATTCTCTGTCTCATCTTACTGTATGCTAAGTGCCTTTGGGTTTTTTTGGCTCTCTTAGCAGAACAAACAGGAGGGAAGAGATTATGACTCGGACTGATCTGGGTGGTTGTTGTTTTTGTTGTTGTCTGTCTGTGTTTGTAGGGGCAGAAAGGAAACAAAGGGGATAAAGGTAGCCCAGGACTTCCAGGATTCCAGGGACCTCGGGGACCGCAGGTAAGCAGAGAGCTCCCAAGTGGGAGTCATGGTTTTTCAGCCATGTCCAGGAAGGTCACTGGTTTGGCTATCTAGTCTAAAGGCTTCATTTTCTGCCCAGGTTCCATTTCTCATTAGCTAGCTCCAGGATTCACACAGTGCCATCTCTTCAGGTAGAAATGATCAGGTGTTTTGCTCAAAGGTTAAATAGGTCTTCAGGGTTGAAAGTGACCTTAGACATCATCCAGGTAAACCCCCTCATTTTATAGATGAAGCAACTAAAACACAGAAAGTTAAGCATTTTGCCCAGGGCACAGAAAATGAAAGTAACTATTGTCATTTTGAGGACAGCTCAAGATGGGGAAAAGTCAGATATTCTAAAATGAATCCATGTCTTTAGACTTCACTACTAAGAAATTCAAAATAATTCAACATACTCCTATTCCTGTTTCTGCCATTCAGAAACTGAGTATACAGGAGTTTCTCAGCAAGAGTCCCCAAAAGAGAGAAACAGGTGAAGCTTGAGACAGTATTAGACTTAAAGTTGGATGTCCTGGCTCTGCCATATACATGGAAGACATCCTTGGGGCCAGTTTAAGTTTCATTACCTGTAAAATGGGAATAATGCTTTACTATTCATCTTATAGAGTTTTTATGAGAAAAAACATAGAGTACAAAGCAATATAGAAATATGAGCTCATAAGGAAAGAATTATTCACATATTAATTCTGGGACAGATGAAATAGCAGGAGAGGGAAAGAGACAGGCCACAAGTGACACACTGAAGGATAGGGTAAAGCAGAGATGTCAAACACGTCATGTGAGACCAGCAATGCTCCCAAGGGCAGACCAAACCAAATTAAAACATACTTGGGAAATATTTAGCAATAAAAATATAAAACGCAATGTTAATTTGTAGTTTTCTAAGTCAATATGAAGCATGCAGGGATCCATATGTGTGATTTAGCAGCCCATTTCTATTTGAGTAAAGAACACTCTAAGAATAAAAAAGAACAATTTGAGTCCCACTTTATTACTTCATGGCTGTGTGACCTGGGACAAGTCACCTAACTTTTCTGGTGACAGTTTCTTTATCTGCAAAATGGAGGCAATAATATTTGCATTACCTACCTCATGTTAAGGGAGGATTAGCCCTTGTGGTAAGGGCTGCCAAACCCTTTTCAGGGTTGGTTGCCCATTTACCTTTCACGTCCCTCTGTCACCCAACTCCCACCTATGGCAGCTGTAGCATGCACAGTGGACCATCCCAGTAAACCATCTCAGCAAATGACTAAACTAGGTTGAGGGTAAGCAGGCCTCAAACCCATTGGTGACTTGGGGGGAATGTCTGCCCCAAGCATGTGAATACTTCTCTTGGCAGAATGTGTTGATGAGAATATTTGATGAAGGCCACTGAAACAGGCAATATGGAGCACTCAAAGTTTGGTGAGGCATCGAAGACTCCAAGGTCACCCACTGCATCTTGGGCCATTGCTAGTCATCTTAACTTTTGTCTTGTCACTGAACTTTGATGACTCAGGAAGAGAGAGTGAGACTGTTGACTTTGGGTAATTCTGCCTCATTTAAATCCAATTCACAAGCAAGTCAAGACATCACCTTGGGATGTCATTGGTTCTCTTTTAAACAGAGAGCAAACAGCAACAACCTACCTTACAAATTGTTGTGGGGGAAGCACTTTTAAACCTTTAAAAGGTTAAATAAATGTGAACTAATATTATTGTCATTATCCTTAACCAGAAGGAGGAGAGGACTGTCTTCTGTGATTGAATCTCAGCTTCAATTTATAAAGCAGGAGACATGTTCTAAATCTTTGAGCACAGCACACTAGAGCATCCTCTTAATTTGTATGTGTGCCCACACACACATAATACCATTAGTAAGATCTACTATTCTATGAGAATAAACACCAGCACTGACTTCTCAGAGTTGTCTTGAGGCTCAAATGGTATAAACATTGTAAAGTGCTTAGCACAGGGCCTGGCTCATAGTAAGTTGCTATCATTCAATCGTGTCCAACTCTTTGTGACCCCATTTACAGCTTTCTTTGCAAAGATACTGGAGTGGTTTGCTTCTCCAGCTCATTTTACCAGTGAGGAAACTGAGGCATATAGGGTTAAGTGACTTGTCCAGGTTCACATAGCTATTAAGTGTCTGAGACCAGGTTTGAACTCAGGAAGATGAGTCTTTTTTGACTTCAGGCCCAGCAATCTATCCACTGTGCCACCTACCTGTCTAATATAAATGTTAGCTATTATTATTATTAACTCCATGATTTAGTGAACCTCAACATTGTCACTAACAATTTCCTGGGTAAGTCACTTTAACTTTCAGGGCTTATGTTTTCTTAATCTGTCTAATCAAAGTTTTGAACTTCTATTGTTCCTCCCAGCTCTAACATTCTATGCACTTTGCTTTTCATATTTTATATTTATATTCTAGCATTGTGCTCTGTCGTTTTCCAGTTCTAATATTCTGTGTTGTTTGTTTGAAAATTCTATGTTCCTTGTTCTAATAATCAACATTATAAGATACCTCCCAGTTTTAACATACTATGTTCTTTGTTCTAATTTTTTTATGTCTCTATTCTAAAATTTTGATTCTAAGATATTTTCTAGTTCTAATATCTTATGTTCTCTACTCTAATATTTTATGCTCTACATTCTGACATTTTGTGTACTAAAGCATCTTCCAGTTCTAACATTCTATGTTTTTTGTTTGAACTTTCTATGTTCATTGTTCTAACCGCCTCTGTTCTAAGGTCCCAATCAGTTTTGATAGTCTGTGTTCCCTTCTACTGTTAAGTATCCAAAGTGTGTTTCTGTATTCACAAGTCAGGATTCTGGGGAATCACTAAATAGTGTCACCTCAGTCGCTGAGAGTCACATGAGAAGCAAAGGTACCCCAATTATGGCTGAGTGGAACAGTTATTTCTAAATCCCACTGTATTATTTGCTCTATATCATTAGAGAGGCGATATAGTATAACGAAATGAACAAGGCCCAGTCTACCCTGGGCAGAATCAAAAGAGATCTCAAAGTCTGTGCTTTCATAACTAGCTAGCTTTGGGATGCTGGATTTAGAACAAAAACAAAACCGAAAAGCAAAAAAATCCTCCCCTCTCTAGGCCTCATCATTAAGGACTGTAAAATGGAGGCAGCTAGGTGGCACAGTGGATAGAGCACTGGCCCTGAAGTCAAGAGGATCTGAGTTCAAATCCGACCTCAGACCAAACACTTGACACTTATTAGCTGTGTGACCCTGGGCAAGTCACTTAACCCCAACTGCCTTAAAAAAAAAAGGGACTGTAAAATGAAGGAACAGGACTGGACAGTCTCTAAGGTCATTTCTTCTTTGATCTCATAAATGTTTCTTGAATAAACACTCAAGGATTCTATCAGCTGTCTCTTACTCCGAGATGTCAACATTAAAGTAAGATGGAAGTAAGAAGACAAGAGGGGGAAGGAGTGTGCCCATTGGTAGACAATCAGGAAAATCTATTCTGATAACTTCTATCTGAGGCAACAAGTCACATGATCCCAAACAAGCTTAGTGTTTGCATAATCTGGGTGTGTAAAGAGAATTCCCATGGTAAGAAATAAATGTCTGCCTGGATGAATAAATTGCTTCCCAAACACTTATCTCCCTTCTTCTAAATACTACAGCACTAGTAGTTGTATCACACAATTTAGCTCTTTATGATTCAGTCTTAGTTGTTTGGTACCAATGTGGTTGGTGTATTTCTCATCCCCTTAAATAGATGAAGAGTAAAGAGATGCTCCTTGAGGGAAGAGTTGATCTTCCAAAGCCTGGTAGTCAATAGAACCCTGACCTTAGGATGTAGAGAAGATCAGGCTTCCAGTTTGGCATCAGTCACTGCTTTGATATATGAATCACCTCTGTGATGCTGGGAAAATCACTTGCCCTCTCTGCCCTTTAGTTTCCTTACCTATAAAATTAAGGGGATTGGACTAGATCATCATTTCTTAAGCCTTTTAGTTTCAGGACCCCTTTATATTCTCAGAAATTATTGAGGGCCCCAGAGAGCTTTAGTTTATGTAGGCTATATCTATTAATATTTACTATCTATTAATATTAAATAATATATCTATTTAATATATTTAATATAATTAAATAATATCTATTAATATTAAAACTTAAAACTAATCATTTTAAAGATGTGTTTATTGATCAATTTAAAACAATAAAAATAAACCTATTACATGTTAACATAATAACATATTTTATGAAGATAATTATATTTTCCAAAACATATAATGAGAAGAGTGGCATTATTTTACATATTTTTGTAATTTTCTCTAATGTGTGGCTGAAAAGATGACAGTCATATTATGATCTCTGCATCTGTGTTCAACAACTGTGATAGATTGTTTTGGTTGAAGAGTATTTGGAAAATCTAGCCTCACACAGATAAGTAATTAGAATAGGCAATAGTATCTTGGTATTATTATGAGAATAGTTTTGACCTCGCAGACTCCTTAAAGGAATCTCAGAGACCCCCACAGGCCTTCAGACTACACTTTAAGAACCACTAAATGATGCCTTTGAAACTTGAAATTTTGTGACACCAGACGTTTTTTAACCTCCTTTTTAATAGCATAGAACAGTGGAAAGAGCATCAGACTCAGAGTCAGCAGAGTACTAGGTTTGAATCTCACATCCAACACTTGCTAGTTGTGTGACCTTGGATAGATCACCTAACCTCTCTTGAACTTCAAATTCCTCATTTGTAAAATGGGAGTAATAATACTAACTATACCTGCTTCAGGGGACATTATGAAGAGAGCTAGCTTATTACTTATAAAGAGGATAAAACACTCCTTGCCTAGCTCACAGGATTGTTGCACACCCCAATGGATGGCTTTGTCCACGAATACCCCACTTTGGGGACTATCTTAGAACATCATTCCTGAGCTCAGAGGACCTTAGACTATCAATAAATGGAAATAGCAGTGCCCACTTTGACTGTCTCTTGAGATGTTGGGAACATTGAATGGACGACTGCATGTAAAGGAATTATTTTTTCTGGATTCCTCATCACTCCCTTCCTCGGTCCTCTTAAACTTGCAATGGTTTGCAAGTGGGAATGCAGACTACATGACCTTAGAATATAAGCACCTAGTGGGGAGGGACTACCTCTTTGGTGCCTTTATCCCCAGCAGCCAAAGTGGGGCCTGCCACACGGTAGATGCTTAATAAATATTTGTTGATTGTTTGGGATAGCCGATGCTTAACATGTGCTTGTCAGGTAGTGGAGTGGCTAGTTGGCTAATATTTGGACACCATGAATTGCTTGACTCTTCCATAATTGTTAATGTTTCACAGGGAGAACAAGGAGAAAAAGGGATCCCAGGAAAAGAGGCAAGTACTCAGCATGTTTTAATCCTTTATTGATCAAATGACAAAGTGGATTGGAAAGGACTTGGTATGCTATAAAATGCTTTGTTAACTGTATAGCCAGACAAGTTTTAAGGATCACCATCATCCATGTAATACCTCACTCTTCTAGAGCAGAGCAGAGAGTTCTGGGAAAGCACCCAAAGTTCTGGCATCACATCCACCAATTATGGCAGAACGTTACTATCGTTGAAATTCATCTTAGTAATTTACATCTCTCCTGTTACAGTTGGCTGTTCTTGCAAATGAATCAAGAATTGCATTTTGAGATATGAGATTTTTATAGGCAATACACAACATCGTTTTTGACAACAATAGTTTGTTTTTTAGTTGACTTTCTAATCATAATAGCGTCATACTGTTATCTTAAGGCATTCTCTCAGGGTGAGTTTCATAATTAACAGCAGTGGATGGAGGGCCGTGTTTCAAGTAATCTTGATCATTTCTCATTTTTTGGCACGCCTCGGCAGATCTGATTCAATTGTCATGTTTGTTTGGTGTTTGTCAGTTTGTTTTCTACACAGCTGGCAAAGAGCTCACGCTAGAAGTAGAAACTTCCACCCCGCCATTTTCCTGATATTCTCTTTAATCCCCAGTTGCTGTTTGCTGTTGCTGTGGGGTGTTATTGTATAGGAAGCTGTTTAAACCACATGTCCAGTTTGTGAGGATTAGTTTAATGAAAAAGAGGTCATATAATTCATAAAATCATCTAGGTCAGCCACAGGACATCTCAATACACTGAAACTGAACCAATCGGTGAGGGTGCCACTGTGAACTAGGGAGCTCCTGCTCTTCCCTCATGATGCTCCATGTATACCATATGTGACCACCTAACATATGGCCTGAAATGATGGAACCAGTACCAATCTATATGACAACTATTTATAGAGCTTAATATAATCCTTTCAGTTAAAGATAAATGGAATGACTTCTCATATTTTCTTTTCACACCCCAATGGATGGCTTTGTCCACGAATACCCCACTTTGGGACTGCTATCTTAGAACATCATTCCTGAGCTCAGAGGACCTTAGACTATCAATAAATGGAAATAACAGTGCCCACTTTGACTGTCTCTTGGGATGTTGGGAACATTGAATGGACGACTGCATGTAAAGTGCTTTCTTATTCTAAAACATTATATAATTAGGCGCTGTTATTATTGATACTAGTTTAAGCTTTTCAGGTAAACATTATTCATTCGTTCAAAAGGAGAACAAAGGCTCTAAGACAGGATCATTTTCCTAGTGTTTCTCCTGAGCCACTGGGTTCCAAGACTCTTCTCTAATTTTTATGTTGTATGATCTTATTTCTCCTGGCTCCCTGGGTATATGCAGGAAACTTCAGGTTCCAGGTTCACGTTTCTATTCTCATCATTGTTCTCTTTCACAGGGTGCCTCAGGAAAACCAGGAGAACAGGGTGCAAAAGGAGAAAGGGTATGTAGGAGAAATTCAGTCTCTCCTAAGCTGAAATCAGAAAATCTAAGTTCCAGAACCAGATCTGCTACATGGTAGCCTTGTAACCCTGGACAAGTGACTTCACCTTTATAAGCCTCAATTAGTCATCTGTAAAATGGGCATAACACTTCTTGCTCTACCTAATTCACAGGGTTGTTGTGAACAAAGTGTTTGCAAACCACAAAGCCCTTCATAAATATGAATTATTATTATTGCATAGAATATATCTGTATGTATATTCTTGTAGCTTATCCCAGTCCAGAAAATAACTGATCAGCAAAGGGAATATTGATTTTACTTTTCTTAATGGGTACATAAGTCTTCATGGGGTTTTTCTCTTGGTTTGTTATTAAAAAAGAAACCATTCAAATGATCAACATAAAGGTGATTGCTGGCAAAGAAGAGAGGCAACACCTAAAGTTGAATGAACGCTGGACTGAGACAACTAGATGTCACAGTGGATGGAGTCTGGAGTCAAGAAGACCTGAGTTCACATACAGCCTCAGACACTCACTAGTTCTGTGACCCTGGACAAGTCACTTAACCTCTCTCTGGGCAGGCACTTAATAAATACTATTTCTTTTCTTCCTTCTTTCCTCTTTCCTCCCCTCTCTCTCTTTCTCTCACTTCCTCCCTCCCTCTCTTCCTTCCTCCCATATGTAAAGCTTAATATATTCTTTTGAGTTAAAAATATAAAGATTTCTTATATTTTGTCCCTTATTCTCCTCCCTCCTTTCCTACCTTTTTTCCTCCTTTCTCTCTCCCTCCTTTCCCACCTCCCTTCCCTCCTTTGCTCCCTCACTTCCTCATTTTTCTTCCTCTTTCTCTTCCTTCTTCCCCCTCCTCAATTCTTCCTCTCTCTCTTCCTTCCCTTTTCCGTCCTCCTTCCCTTCTTTCCTTTCTTCCTTCTTTCCATTCATTTTTCCTTCTTTCCTGTGAATCTGGACATCATGGTTCTAATACTAGTTCTCCCATTCATATGCTATTTGACCTTGGTTGATTCACATCTCTAATCTGGGCATCCTCCTCCTCATCTGTAAAATAAGGAGGCTGAAGTAGATGATCTTTAAAGGACTTTCTGGGTTGATAATTCTGTGTTCTAAGATACCTTCCAACTGTGATATCCAACATCTTAACATCCCTTCCATTTCAAATGTTCTAATCTAAATTTGTCTATTTTCATTTGAAAAAGTTTCAGACATGAAAACATGCATGGCATGGCGTTTGCCCAGTGCTGGGTTTGTCATCGGATGTGAAAAGGGAACAGATTTTTCCATAATGAATGTTGGCAGCACCAGGATTTAATAAGATTTTCTTTACATTTGCTTGAAAAGGAGCTTGGTGGGGGGGAGAATCATTTTTGCAGCAAAGTTGGTTGTGTGTGTGTGTGTGTGTGTGTGTGTGTGTGTGTGTTTTAACACCCATGAAAGCTGCTTCTCCTCACAGTGAAAATATAAATCCAGTCTGCCTTGACACCCCCACACGTGTTGCTTGTTACACAACCACTCAGAATGGCAGTCTCCAGTTCCCCTTGTTGTCATGGCCCCCGCAAGGGGATGCATCTCAGCTTCCTTTGCAAGTTCTAAGAGTGACATGGCAGCTTTTTCCACTGTGTCAAGAGGAAGCAGAGAGGCTGGGTCTCCATATGGAAATCCCTGTGTAACTGATTAGCCCCAGACAAAGGAGGGCAACCAGGACTGATGAGGGGTCCAAAGACCCTTTCATGTGAGGGTCACTTGAAGGGTCTAGCGGAAAAGGGAACAGCATGTTACAATGGAGAAAGTCTTGGATTTGGAGTCAGACTACTTAGATTAAAATCTTTCTCTATTACCATCAGTGTGACCTTGGGCAAGTCAGTTCATCGCTCTGAGCCTCAGTTTCCTCATTTGTAAAGTGAGGGAGTTGGATAGTGTCTATGTTTCCTTCCAACTCTAATTGATGGTTAAAAGGCGCATAACCACTGTTTTCTAATGTCTAAAATTCTGGCATGTGGAACAAGGATTAGACTTACTCTTTGTGGTTCTAAATTGTAAGAACTAGAAAGTTAGAAGGATAGAAATTCCTATTCAGTATAAGAAAGAAATTCCTTACAATTAAGGCCATCCAGCAATGAAATTGATTCCATCTAGAAGTGGTGAGCTTCCTGTGACTAGAAGTGTTCTGACAGAGTCAGGGCTTGCTGCTGAGTCAGAGGAATTCATATATGCAGGATTTGGGCTAGAAGACCTCTGAGTTCAGGCTCCTAGGAGCCCTTTGCTATAGGAACAATGTGATGTGGAAAAAGCAGTAGCCTGGGAGCCAAAGAATCAGTCAGAGGCAGAAGAGGTGGGGGGCGTAATCCAATCTCTACAACTAATTGGCTATACTATTTTAGGAAGTTTAATATCTCCAAACTTCAGTTTCTAAATCTATAAAATGGGTATGATGATCCTTGCCCAACCAACATAACAGAGATATCGTGGAGATCCATTGTAATGAAGTACTTTGTAAAATGTCATGCCCATGTAAGAGATTACTAATTGTAAGAACTTGTTCTTTAATGTTTCCTTGGAAACATATATCTGCCATTAGGCTACCCCCTGGCTTTGAAGCCTACAATGCAAAGGGGTACCCAGCCTGGGTACATGATGAAGGCATTGCTTTTCTGTTTGTTTGCTTGCTTGTTTTTTGGAGTCAGTTGGAAATAAGTGACTTGCCCAGGGTCACACAGTTTTTCTGAAGCCAAATCTCAGTTCAGTCCCTCCTGACTCCAAGACAGGTGCTCTATCCACTGTGCCACCTAGCTGACCCATGGCAAAAGTATTGTTGAGGACTAGGAGCAAGACGAAAATTCTTCATCAAATGTAGCTTGAAAATCTGAGACATACATACATACATACATACATACATACATACATATATGTGTGTGTGTGTGTATGTGTGTGTGTGTGTGTGTGGAGGAAGTATGTGGTAGTAGCTTGAGCACTGAATTCACAGCCAGAAGACCCAAGTTTTAATACTGACCACTCTGTACACTGCTTTTGTAACTTTGGGCAAACCACTTTCTGGACTTCAGTTTTGTCATCTGTAAAATGAGCAGATTGAACCAGATGATGCCTAAAATTCATTCCATCTTTAAATAATATGGGCATGTTTGGTTCATGGGCTCTCTGAAAAATATAGCTGTCTAGGGGGCAGCTAGGTGGCGCAGTGGATAGAGCACTGGCCCTGAAGTCAGGAGGACCTGAGTTCAAATCTGGCCTCAGACCAAACACTTGACACTTACTAGCTGTGTGACCCTGGGCAAGTCACTTAACCCCAATTGCCTCAAATAAAAAACAAACAAATAAACAAGAATATAGCTGTCTAGTTTGCTAAGCCAGGGGTGAGGCATCAGACAGTGGCAACACTTCAGAAGGAAGAAGAGAAGAGGCAAGGTTTTGGTCCCTGTGTCATTTTAGGGGCTGTGTTTCCTTGGTCCTGAAGACACAAACTGCCTAATGTTCGAAAATTACTTTTGAAGTGGGGACAAGAAGCAAGGAAGCATGTTGGGACCATCCTCGGCTCTAGAGCTACTCACTTGATCTCTGACACATTTTCCCCTGGACCCATTTTCTTCTTTTGTCAAAAGAAAAGTTTGAATTGTAGCATGACAAAGATTCCTTTTGTCCTTAACATTCTGTGCCCTAAGGTCCTTTCTGTCTTCAACATTCTATATTTCAATATTCTATGGTCTAAAAGCCTTTCTAGTTCTAACATTTATATTTATTATTATTATTTTATTAATTTATTAACATTTATTTGAGGGTCCTGATAATAATGGCACTTACCTCCCAGGGTTGTGGTGAAGATAAAATGTGCTTTGCCAATCTTAAAGCATTTATAAATACTAGTTAGTGTTGTACCAAGAAATCAGCGAGCAAGACCCAGACGTAATCGAGCTAGGATTTATATATAAAAGAGCATGGGAAAGAAATGTGAGGAACACTGATGAGGTAATCCAAAGATGCAGGTGTCTTTGGGGGCTATGGATGGGAAAGTACAGGGAGTATACAGGACAGGGAGGGGGATGGATCTTTGAAGTCTGGCAAGAGGAAGAGTTCTTGGGCTGGTCAAGGACACCCCTCTCCCTCTGTCTTGACATGAGAATGCTCTGCAACAAAGGAAAGCTTTCTCACAACACGGGAACTTACTAAGGAATTGGGAGGCTTCCAGAGACATGATCTGAAGGCTGGGGCCTGAGCAGCCCAGCTCTGTGTAGCTGTACCAGGGAGAGAGATAAGGGTCATGCTGAGGCCCATGCATGAATAACTGCCAGGCACAGTGTCCTTGGGCTGGGGAGTGGTTGTCAGAGACAGTGTTTCTGAGACTAGGGAGACATTTGGGGCACAAGTGTAAGCACAAGCACCCGAGCACCCCGTTATTACGGGTCAGAGATCACACAAACCAGACCAGGTGTCCTGGTCTCTGCTATAAACATAATTATCTAAAGCAATTATATTGCAAGCTTTCTTATCCATTTGTGTTGGAGGTATGGGCTATGCTGAGCTATGCAAGAGTACATTTCACTATTGTTTAGATTTAGGAGGAAAGAGGTCTGGGGCAAGATTAAGCACCAACTTTTGCCTTCCATGGCTTAAAGGGCCCTACTACCTCAATGGCAAAATAATGTTCTGCATTATATTAGTATTGTTATTATATATGGACAGAGGAGTAGACTCCATTCCATATATTGAGGCTTTATGTGTTGCAAGGCCTGTTTTTATGTGTGGCTTGAAGGAAGGCAAAATAGACATCTCTAAGCGTCTTCTTCCCCTACCCTTCTCCATGGGAGACTTTCATTCCTGCCAAGAGAGGAAGCAGAAGGTTGGGGCCTCCTCAGTGAGAGGGGGTCTCAGGCTAAAATATAACTCTCTGTTCCCTTAAATAGCATTATTCTACTTGACAGGAATGGGCTCCATGTAAGGTCTAATTGTTTTGTCATTTTGGGGGGGGAAAAGAAGGGCCTCAAGTACTATACGCAAGATACCTTCCCCACCTAATAATCAGTTCCACAATGAATATGCAGGGAATAGCAAACATCATTTATCCAAATTGTAGCAAAACAGAAATCAGAGAAGGTATATATAGGAAAATATGTACCAGGCAACACAGAATGAAGGCACTCTCCCGTCAGGAGAGAAATAACTCAGTTAAACCATGAAAGAAGGTCCTTGATATCCCCCAAGAGGGAGCACCCCAAAATGTCTTGAGTAGCAAGCTGGACATATGGACATGATGGAGACTGCTAGCTCCTCTCATATCTTCCCAGAGTCTTTTCCTTCAGCAACCTCAAATGGGGTTGACCTCTTCTATCTTCTCTCTTGAAGCTGGAAGCCAGGAGTACCCCAAATGACTTAACTCTCAAAGAACAGATGAAATCTGATGAGTCCCCAAAGAGGGAACTCCTGACTGAAAAATCCCCAAAGGGGACTGGCTGAGAATGGAAGCTCTCCTCTCTCATCAACTCCACCCACCCCTCAATTAGGGCATAGCCTTCATCTTTACCAATAAGGAGAGACTCTGGGACAGCTGAGGAGGGCCCGAGTTCACATAGCACTTACTAGCTGTGTGACCCTGGGCAAGTCACTTAACCCCAGTTGCCTCACCAAAAAAAAAAAAGAGAGAGAGAGATTCCCATACCAATGGATTTTAAGACAGGGGTTACAATTATTATTCTCCATATTATGGTTGTTCAGTCATTTCAGTCATGTCTGACTCTTTGTGACCACATTTGGAGTTTTCTTGGCAAAGCTATTAGAGGGGTTTGCCATTTTCTTCTCCAGCTCATTTTATAGATGAGGAAACCGAGGCAAACAGAGTGAGATGACTTGTCTAGGGTCACATGGCAAGTGTCTGAGGCCAGATTTGAATTCAGGAATTGAGTCTTCCTGACTCCAGGCCCTGTACTCTATCCACTTTACCACTTGACTGTTCATTGTTCTCCGTATCAACATTCTATGTTCTAACGGCCCTTCCAGGGCTAACTTTCTCTGCTTTACATCCTAGGTTCCATTCTATCTTTTACATTTTCTATTTTTAACATTTTATGGTCTAAAGACCTTTCTAGGTCTAACACTTTTTGCTTCATCTTTTAGGCTTCCATCTCTCTCTAACATTCTCTGTTTCAACATCCTGTGTTCTAAGGGTCCTTTTAGTTCCAATATTCTGGAAGCTTTTGTGAACATTACAGTCATATCTAGCATTAAGAGGAAAATTCAATTTGATAAAGAAACTCTTCTGCTATTTCTAGAAGTCAGCCACAGCTGGCTCTAGCTAGTGGGATCTGTTGAAGTAAATATTGCACTTTCTCCGTCCTCTCAAGCTGTGAGGAGTCTTGGAACAGAGAGGACCGCATCCTCTAGGCTCTGGACATGATCAGTAGATCGTGGTTCTGGCTGAGCATACTGTATACTCATTTTTATATTTATGTGCTATCTCCTTCCTCTAGGGAGATCCTGGGGTCAAAGGAGAGAAGGGGACCCAAGGACAAAAGGGTCAGCCTGGGGAGCCAGGATTACCAGGTCATAAAGGCCACACAGGATTGATGGGCCCTCATGGACCTCCAGGAGAAAGTGGACCTGCTGGGCCTCCTGGACCTCCAGGACAGCCAGGATTTCCTGGAGCAAGGGTAAGAGTACTAGGAAATCAGCGTTGGACAAAGTACCCTACTCAGCCTCAAATTTTATTCCTTTTTGATAGCTTTCTCTCCAGCTCAGCAAAAAGTTTTATATTTTTAGAGAGTTACCTTGTTGTTAGCAGCAGGAGTAGGGGAGTATAGTGGGGAGAGCACTAGATTTGGAATCAGGAGAACTGGGTTTGAATCCCAGCTCTGTTACTTAATACCTGAATGACCTTGGTCAAGTCAGTTTATCTCCTTAGTTCTCAGTTTCCTCATCTGTCAAATGAGGGGAATGAGACAAGGAGATCTTAGGATCACTTCCCGCTATTAAACCCGTGGTCATCACTGTGTTAAAGAGATCTATTGTAGTCAATTACTCAGTTGGCCAGCTGGTACCCATTAATGTGCTAGGCACTGGGGACACAGAAATGAAAGAATCCTCATCCTCAATAAACTTCTAGTTTATTTGGTGGGAGGAGACAACATGTGCTTATATAAATTTAAAGGAAGTAAGGTAATTTTAGGGTGGGAAGGCATTAGCTGTTGGAAAGGTCAGGAAAACCCTTATATAAAGTGCTAAATTGCTTGAGCTGAATTATGGAGGAAATTAGGGATTTTAAGACATGGAGGTGAGGGGAAATGCATTCTAGGCATGGAGACAGGGGATAGAGTGTCATGTATGAGGACCAGTAAGAAGCCCAGTTTGATTGGACTGTAGAGTGTAGGAAAGGGAGAATTGTGTGATAAAGTTGGAAAGGTAGGTTGGAGCCAGGTTGTGAAGGACTTTAAATGTCAAATAGGATAGGGGTTTATATTAGCAACAGTGATAATAATTCATAATAATAAAGATAGCATTTAAATGTCACTTAGGGTTTACAAAGTACTCTACACAACCCATTTCATTGGACCTTTTGTTTCTGTGACTCAGTAGTACCTTCGGAACATCTGAGATGTAATAGGTGCTAGTGCTTAGCCATGGTATATAATATTTGATTTAAAAGTCCCAACGACAGTCTATTAGATTCAGCATTATATCATCTTATGAGCCATTTGACAGAAGCACTTGGGATCAAAGTCAACTGTCTAAACTAGATGGTCAATCTATCCAGTTCCTTGGTAGATTGCTGGACCTGGAGTCCAGAAGAACTGAGTTCAAATCTGGCCTCAGACCTTTACTAGCTGTGTGACCCTGGATAAATAGCTTGACCTTTATTTACCTCAGTTCCTCTTCTGTAAAATGGGAACACACTGGAGATGGAAATGGCAAATCACTCCAGCATCTTTGCCAAGAAAACCCCATGGACTTTGAAACAACTGAACGAAAACAAAATGAGATAACATTATTTTTCCCCTTTTTTTTTGGCAATTGGGGTTAAGTGACTTGCCCAGAGTCACACAGCTAGTAAGTGTCAATTGTTTAGTCTGAGGCGGCATGTGAAGGCGGGTCTTCCTGACTTCAGGGTCAGTACTCTATCCACTTCGCCATCTAGCTGCCCCTGAGATAACATTTGTAAAGGTGCTTTGCAAACCTTAAAAAACTATATAAATGGTAACTATTATTATTATTGTCAAATGCAATCTGGCTGGATCACTAGTCTTAATCCTGGCTTGTCTCTTCTTCTCTTTTCTTTAGCCGTTTTTCCGCCTTAGCTCTCTGCATCTCACTTTCCTCATTTATCAAATGAAGTTGGATTGGAGCATCTCCAAGGCTCCCCCTGCTAGCTTTAATGTTCTGGGAGGCCCAGCAACAAATGAGAGTGTCAGGGCACAGAATGCCAGGCTCCAGGAACAATCCTGAGGTGAAGGCGGGGGAATCAATGCCTTTCCTAAGCCTCTTTTAATACATTCTCAGCAATCCCTTATCTTGCCTTATATCCCATCAATGGTCACAATGTACCTGCTGGGAAAGCAGACAACTGGCTTGTTGATTGACAAACAAAATCTCAGTGGTCAGATTTTAGAGGCAGGGAGCAGTCCTCAGCAGGGACATTCTGTTCAGAGAACCAGTCTGGGAGACCAGGGGATGGTTATTTTATAGAAGGTGGTGAAACCATCTCTTTCCCCCCCAAAAAAAAAAATAAACTTCCAGAGAAACATCCTGCAAATTATTGGACTTTTAAAGCTTATCATTTTGTTACAAGCAACACAGACAGGGCAAAATGAGTCATCTCCTCGAGAAAGCACATAATATTGGGAAGAAAGACAGACAGCCTGGCTGAATGTCTTCCTGAACTCTGGCCTGTTATTTGTTTGTTTTGAGGAGAAAGGTTGCAATTAAGTAAGTAGGTTACAAGCAAATACATTGTGGCAGGGATTGTAGTAGTAACTAAAACCCAAAGAGTGAGACCAGAAAGGAGCCCCAGTGCTTACCTTCACACCCATGTAAGGGCCTCAGTGTTTAATATTTCTTTGTTGACTGATTGATTAATCCCTCTTTATGTATCAACACTACTTGGTAGAAAAGACATAGCAATCCTAGGCTCTAATCCCTTCCTCTTCCATTTACTCATTGTAGGACTTTGGACTAGTCATTTCCCTTCACTAGACCTCGGTTTCCTTATCTGTAATATGGGAACATTTCCTCCCCTGCCTATCTCACAGGGTTGTTGCCAGGATCAAATGAGAGAGTGAGGATGCAAAACCCCTTTGCAAAATGGTAAAGGGCTATTTTCACGAAAGTTACCACACAATTATCAGTAGCAGGAACCGCAGCAGCAGCATTAGCAGTAGTAGCAGTAGGGAGTGTGACTGTATATTCTAGACTAAGAGTTAACATAAGGAGAGGGATCCTGTCTCAGGAAAACCTACGTTCACAGGACATTTACTAGCTGTATGACTCTAGGCAAATCACTTAATCTCGATCTGCCTGGGTTTCCTCATCTGTAAAATGGGAATAATCACAGCATCTACCTCCTAGGGTCATTGTGAGGATCAAATAAGATAGTATTTGTTAAGTGCTTTGCAAACTTTAAAACCTTCTATAAATGCTAGCTATCATCATTATCATCTCTCTAGCTCCTAGCAGAGTACTCTACACATAATAAGCCCTTAAGAAATGGATATTGAATGAACAATCATTCAAGTTCTCCCCCACTTCTAGCACCTTAGAATTCTGCCTTCGTTCAATGAAATTCAGCAAGGCCTTTCTGAACCCCAGCTGCATGCCCAGCACTGTTTTCTGGGTTATAATGTAAAAAGAAATTTTGTCACTATCCTGGCTCTGCCCCTTTCCACCTTAGTGACCCTAGGCTTCCTTGTTCATCTGTAAGAAGAGGGGTGCTGGACTATGTGACTTTTGAGGTCCCTCCCAGCTTTAAGTAGGTGAGGCTGCAAGTTTAGTTGGGATACCTCAGTGCCTGAACCTCTCTGTGCCCTCCTCTTCTCGTATGAAGGTGCATGCATTACCAGGATGTAGCAATGATGGAATGACATAATAGATACAAGAATGCTACTGAAATACAAAGTTTAGTAGTTATTAGGTTCTGCAGACTGACCAGTACATGGTACTCATTTGTTAATCTTTCTTCAGTAATAATTCCAACTTTCTTCTCTTCTAGGGAGATTCACCATCAGTGGACACTCTTCGAAGGCTTATCCAAGAAGAGTTAGGGAAGCAACTTGAAAGTAAGTGGTCCAGTACTGCCCTGTTTTAGGGAGGAAGTAAAATGGTGGAGGGGAAAAATTGCGACAGTGGGTATCAGTAGGCCAGAGTTTGAGTCTGATTACTAGTCCTGCCATTTACTTGAGAAAGCCATTTCCCTTTCTAGGTCTCAGTTTCCTTAACTATAAAAGAGCATTGTTATATTAGTTCATTCAATAAATATTTATAAAGCACCCAATGTGTGCTAGGCACTAGGGGCACAAAGACAAAAACAATATCCCTCAAGGAACTTGCATTCTAAGGCAGAGAAGAGATAATATGTAGAGTAAATTAAAAAAAAAAAAAGTAGGTACAAAGTAAATTGTGGCTGGGCTAGCAATTTAAGAGATCAAGATAGGCTTCTTTAGGAAAATATTCATGGTGAATGAGGCAGAGGTAAAGACAGCTAAACGGAAGGCAGAATGAAGGGGGATATGAGGTAGAGGTGAAGATGGAGCACATGCTAGACATAGGGGACAACTATACAAAGGCATGAGATGGGAGATCTAAGTAGCTATTTGCTTAGGATATAGAGCAGTGAGTGGTGTCAAAATCAAAAAGACATCCAGATGGAGGTATCCAACAGGAAGGTAGTAATGAAAGACTGGATCTCATCAGAGAGAGAAATGTAGGCCTGCAGGTTACTTATGGACTTAGAAAAGCCACAAAATGGGGCAGCTAGGTGGCACAGTGGATAGAGCACCGATCCTGGAGTCGGGAGGACCTGAGTTCAAATCGAGCTACAGACACTTGACACTCATTAGCTATGTGACCCTGGGAAAATCACTTAACCTAGATTGCCTTGCAAAAAAAACCCCCACAAGTTAACATTATATATATTGTATTGTATTTTTATTTATTTTGTTAAATATTTCCCATTTACATTTTAATGTGGTTAGGGCTATACTCAGGAGGAAGGGTAATAATGTACAGTAATCTTAGAATGGAAGAATAAAGTCAGACAGTAAAGGGCTTTGAAAGCCCAATAGAGAAATTTGCGTTTTATCTCAGAAATGATGGGGAGCCATTGGAGCTTTTTGAACATGAGAATAACATGGTCAGATCTGTGTTTGAGGAATGTCACTTTGGCAGCCATACAAAGAATGGATTGGAGGAGGGATAGACTAGATATGTGGAGCCTAATTAGAGGCTCTTGAAATAATGTACTGGAGATGTAATGAGGGTCTATAACAGGTGGTGCCCATGTAAGTGAAAGAAGGAAATAGATGCAAATGACAGTGTGGAGTTAGAATCCATATTACTTGGCAACTGATTGGTTATGAAAGATGAATGAGAAGGATGAGTTGAGAATGACTGAGGCTGTGAACCTAGGTGACTCAAAGGATTGTAGTACACTCAACAGAAATAGGGATATTAAGAAGAGGGAGAAGTTTTTGGGGAAAATGAATCGTCTTGGACTTTTCGAGTTTGAGATGCCTGCAGGACATCCAGATGGAGGTATCCAACAGGAAGGTGGTAATGGAAGACTGGATCTCATCAGAGAGAGAAATGTAGGCCTGGGAGTCATTGACATCAAGATGAAAATTGAACCCATGGGAGTAAATCAGATTCAGAAAAAGTAAGAGTGTATAAGAGGAGATGAAAATAGCTCGGCACAGGGCACGGGGGTTCACTTGAAGTTAGATGATGGATGATGATCCAGCCAAAAAGACTGAGAATGAGTGGTCAGACAGACAGGAGGAAGAACCAGAAGAGAGGAGTGTTATGTTATGAAAAAATCAGAAGAGAGTACTGTGGAGAAGGAGATGGCCAGGGGCAGCTAGGTGGCCCAGTGGACAGAGCACAGGCCCTGGAGTCAGGAGGACCTGAGTTCAAAGCTGGCCTCAGACACATATGACCTTGGGCAAGTCACTTAACCCCATCGCCCAGCCAAAAAAAAAAGATGGCCAAAAGTATCAAATGCTGCAGGGAAATAAAGGTGTTTTAAGTTAGTTCTAACATTCCTTGTTCTCTCTTTTAACTTTCAAAGCCTACACATAGCAGACGAGTAACAAAAAAAATGAAATTTGGGAGTGCTGCTGAAGGGAGTCAGACTTCTAGAGAACAGTAGCCTATTATAAGTTATTGGAGAAGGACCAAAAGGAGATAGCAGTTCATATTCCTGGTCAGGAACCAAGAAGTTTTAATTATTTCAAAAGGCCATAATAGGATGGAAAAGCAGGATAATAGAGTATCGTGAATCAAGTCCTAGAAATACAGGGTTATTCTAAGCCCTAGCGACTATCTGTTTGTCTCCTTAGCATAAGAACATTAACTAATACTAGGCTTATTTTTTCAGATCAAGTGGGGGAAAAAAAGCAGTATGTCCAAACCAATTCCAAACAAGGAATAAGGAGTCATGAGCAGAGGCCAGATAAACCATAATTGTAAAAATAAATGCGACAGAGAGAGTCATGGCCTCTGTTAGGACAACTAAATTTTGCCACTAGCTAGCCTCAGGTATATTATTTCCTTTCTCTAGGCTTCAACACCCACATCTGTAAAATGAGGGCTTTAAACTAGATAAGCCCCAAATTCCTTTCTAAGTTCTAACGTTCTATTTTCTGAGGTTCCGTCAATTTCTGATGGTCTATGACATTTCTGACTCTGACATTCTATGATCTGTCTTGTAATATTCTGTATTCTAAGGTCCTTTTCAGTTCTAGAATTCTGAGTGCTTCTGTTCTAAAGTTCCTGTTTGTTAGATCTAATATTTTACATTCTGACATTTTAACTTCCAAGGTCCCTTTTAGATTTAACATCTGGCAATTATAATGGAACCAGTGACACTTACTCAAGGATACTTGAACACTTCAGTATCTGAAATCATGTGGGTCACCTGGAAAAGGTCCTCGAGATACTTTCTCTGTCCACGGCCTCCTGGAAAAGTACAGAGAGTTACGTCCAAAGGATTCTGCAGTGCAACTCATGCATCTACCCTCCCTCTGTGGCCAAAAACACTCTTAAGTAATAGTCAGTAATTCTTCCTTTGGCAGGGCAAGAAGAAAAGTCTATAAATACCTTCAAGGTACAAAGGGAGATAAAAGAGGGGATTTATTCAGGATCCAAATACAGGGGGTACAAAGAGCATTGCATTTGGACTAAAAAGGAGATTGACCTAGATAATAGCCTGGTTTGAATGAGGCAGTGGGGTATAATGGGAAGATTCTCACCTTGAGGCAGAAGACCTGAATTTAAGTCCAGGCTGTAACTATGAACTTAGACAAGGCAGTTCTGAAGGGATTGATGAGTTCTGAGGTCCCTTGTAGCTGGAACAATTTCAGATTCTAAAATACATAAATATTAGGTCAGTCCCAGTGTTAGAGAGGTTAAGAGTGAGACTTTCCCTTTTAAGTCTTGCTTTGCTGCTGGGTTGCTGGTACCATAACATAAAGAAAGAAGGAAGAGGTTATAGAATTGCTGACACCATAATGTTTAGGAAAAAGACAGCTAAGTCGGACAGTAAATAGAATGCCAAACCTGGAATCAGGAAGATTCAAGTTCAAATCCTGATTTAGATGTTTATTGTCTGTGTGGTCCTGGGAAAGTCAGTTGACCTCTGTAAGCCTCAGTTTTCTCATCTGTAAAATGGGGATAATAATGGAGCTAATAATATTACTTACCTTATAGGGTTGTTGTCAGGATAAAATGAGATAATATATGTAGAGTACTTTGCAAACCTTTAAGAATATATAGATGATAGCTGTTGTTATGAGGCATCTAAGTTATATAGTGGATAGAGGACTGCTGGCCTTGGAGTCAGTAAAACCTAGGTTCCAGTTCTCCCTCATTTGCTAGCTGTGTGACCCTGCCTCAGTTTCCTTATTTGTAAAAAGGAAACAATACCACCAACTATTCTGAAAAGTTTTTATGAGGATCACACGAGCTTAACAACTCAGGGACTAACTTGGGGGGAAAGGGCAGCAAATTTGGAGTGTGAATGCAACTAGGCTTATGTGAGATAGATGTGGCAAGGTTGGGGACCCTGGAAATAAGGGCTGCATTCTGTGTTCTCGGAGGGCCTTAAGGACAGACTTTCTTGGGGTAGTATATACTGGAAACAGTAAACCTGCCCTTGGCATAATAGTTCATACAGGATCAAGACCTTTCACTTCAGTCTGGGACCAGACTGTCCCTAGAGTTTGAGATTCAGACTTTCACAATGCCCAGGTCAGATGGGAAATCAATTCTACTGAATTCAGTCCAACAAAAAATGCTATTAAATACTATCCATGAGCAATGCATGAAAGACCATGGAGGCCCAGAGAGCCTTGGAGCAAAGAAGGTCTTGGTTCAAGCATTGCCTCTGAGGCTTACTAGCTATGTGATGATGGATAAATCACTCAACCTGTCAGTGACCCCCCTCCTCCCCCACCCCAGCCATTCTCTAAGACTTTAAATTGATTGCAGAAGAGTTAAGTTACCAGTCTGCATGAGAGAAGAGAGTTTCTACCTTGGGAACTCCCAACAAAAATAACAATAATAAGAAAAATATACAAGGCACTCACTGTGTTCTCTCTGAGCCTATTTTTCCATCTTCAACATAAGGTTAATACTTTTCCTACCAAACTCACAGGAAGGTCGTGCGAATCATTTTATTTATTTATTTTTTTTGTGTGCAAATCATTTTAAAGGGCCTCCTCTGTTCAGGGCCTCATGCTAATCACTAGGTATGCAAAGATTTTAAAAAGCCACAGTGCCTACCTTCAAGAGGATTACACTTTAATAGATATGATGAAGGTATCGCAAATGGAGTCAACAAGACTGGTTAAACAGGATAATGTGAAAGATTAGAGGAGGTCTATATCACTTTCACCTGGAAGGATCAGGCTAGCCTTCCTGGAGGAGGTGGTGCCTAAGCCGGGTCTTGAAGGAAGGAAAGGAGGGTCAGTAGGAGAAAATGCTTGTGTGTTGGAGAGCTGTGGTGAGGGGGACGATTCTAGGCATGAAAGACATCTTGTCAAGGTACAATGAATCCAGAAAGGGCAGAATGAGATTATAGTTAGCAGTTCAATTTGGTTAAAGTGTGGAGTACTTGAAGGGAGGAGTAGCATTAGATAATGCCAGAAAGGTAGGTTGGAATCAAACAGTGGGAAGCCTTGAATGCAAGGTGAAGGAATTTAGAAGAAATAAGAAGTCAGTGAAAGAGAGTGAGTAGAGTAGGAGGAGCACTGAACTTGGAGTTAGAAATAGACCTTTGAATCTAGGATGTAACTTCCTAGTTTTGTAACCTTGTGTATATCATGTAACCTTCACAGTAATCAGCTTCCTCATCTACAGCATGAAGATAATACTATATGTTTTGAGGAAAGTACATCCTAAGAGGCTAATGCAAAATGTGAGGTATTAACTTTGAGCAAGTGGAATGTCCATGATGAAAAAGTATTTATGTCACACTTCTTCATTTTCTGCAGCTGCCATCCACGTTTGTTTCTTTTGCCCATAAATACCCAATTAGAGATGACTCAGAAGTTCAACTTCACAAATATAGGGAAAGACTTGTTTTGTGTTAGAGAAGAATCCATGTGGGGAAGGAAAGAAGATTGGGTTTTAGTGGATGACACGCTCAATTTGAGTCAACAAAAAGAAAAAAAAAACTAATACTCAAACTGCATAGTCACAGCATCATAGAATTTCAGAATTGGAAGTGAACTTAGCAGCCATCTAATTTAAGTGAAACAGAGAAAGAATCCCCCCCACCCCAATAACATGCCCAACAAGTCCTCATCCAGCCTCATCTTGAAGACCTCCAATGAGAAGGAAGCCACCATCTCCAAAGGCAGGCCATTCCATTAGGGGAGAGGCATAGACTCCAGAAGAAGATAGCTGAGAGTGCCCTGGTCAGACCACATCTGGGGTATTGTATTTGATTCTTGGTGCAACATTTTATAAAGAATGTTAACTAAATGGAGAAGCAATGCATACATAATAAGTCAACTAGAGTGGAGGGCACTGGCAATTATGACCAAGATTCATTGGAGGACCTAGGAATGAATGTTTAGCCCAGAGAAGAGAAAATTGAGAGAAACAATTATTTCTCTCTTATGTTAATAGCCATTCACTATCAGGGACATCCAGGAGTTTTTCCCTTCCTATTTCATTATTCTCTAACATTCTGCTCAATCTTGTTCAGACCTCACCCAACTGGGAAAGTTTAGATCTAAACAAAAGGTAAAGAAATTCTAATTTAGATGAATTGGTGGATTCTAGCCCATTGTGTTTAATTAGACAGCTCTGGATAGCACTTTGTGTGAATCATTTAACCTTCATTGTAATCAGCTTCATCATCTGCATCTGCATCCCCTTTTTGTCTACATGGTGTAGTCTGATATAGGTAAGTCTCTTTGTCCAAGACTGAGTGATCAGAGTCAGTTTCCCAGACTCTCATTAGAATAAGCCCAACTCTCATTATAATATTCATTCTCATTACTTGTCAATCAGAGTAAATTTCCACCCTCAGGAAGACCCACTCTTCCAAGGGTATATAAATGTGAAGACCATTCCATGAGGGGTCTTTGGCATTTGAGAGTTCCATTGACCCTTTTTATTAAATATTCAGTAGTAATAATTAATAAAATGATTGATTATGCAGAAACTATGTCTTGCAAACTTTTTATACATTACAGTTGAGATAGCAAATATGATAGCGGTCTTGAAAGATTTTAAAGTCTGTCATACAAAAGAAAGATTAAGTCTATTCTGCCTGGCTTCAGAGGGCTGAAATAAAAATGACAGAAGTTTCAGAGCAGCAGAGTGAGGCTATTTCTGAGGAAAACTCCCTAACAGTTATAGCTATTTAAAAGTGAAATGTCTTGCCTCAAAAGGTAGTGAGTTTCCCCTCAGTGGGATTATGTGTGTGTGTGTGTGTATATCCAACATGCTGGAGCAGAGGTTCTTAATCTTATTCATGTCCTAGTCCTCTTTGATAGTCTGATGAAGCTTTATACTACTACATTTTGTCACTTAAGTTCATAAGTGAAGGAAATGCTAAATTTCAGTAAGAAATGAGTGAAAATGAAAGTGTAATCTTTTTCCTACCCAACTTCACAGACGCCCTGAAATCGATTCACAAACCTCCAAGGGATCTGTGGACAACCACTCTGCTGGTTCATGGATACCTATTAGGCTTTTACTCTTGCCAAATATATTCATAGCACCATATAAATGTCAGTGATGATGGGCGTCAGATTCTGATCAGATCAGTCTCAATAATATATCTTTTCTGCTTCTATGCAGCTTTGGCCCCTAAAGTTCTCTACTGAAGTCCTCTCTACCCCTCAAATCTGTTTGTTTTTTCTTCTCTGCAGCCAAACTAGCATACCTCCTGGCCCAGATGCCGCCAGCACATGTTAGAACAACTCAGGGCCGGCCAGGGCCCCCTGGACCTCCTGGAAAAGATGGTCTTCCTGGAAGAGTAGGTCCTATGGGGGAGCCAGGCCGGCCTGGACAAGTGGGCTTAGAAGGGCCATCTGGCCCCATGGGGCCCAAAGGTGAGTGAATCTGGAATGTCCAGGTGAGTTCCAGAAGAGATTTATTTGCTTAGTCTGGAATTCTAAGGAGGATGGGAACTAGAATAAGAAAGGTATCCCAGCAATAGTACATTCTATTCACTGAGCCCCATCCATCAAGGACTGAAGAGGTAAATTATACCACAGCATATTATATAATCTAGAAGGAGCTTGTGCTCCATAGACTTGGGTACAAGTTCCAGCTCCAACACGAACTCACCATGAGAAACTATTAGGTGAATTGTTCACCCTTTCTGAACCCTAGGTGCTGACTCATCTACAAAGTGATAATGATAATAATGTGTCCTACATACTTTTCAGCATTGTTAGGAGGAAAACACTTTGTAAACTTAAATACTATACAGACATGAGTTATCACTCAAATCATTTTTGTTGGTAACTTTTGTCTTCCCAGAAGGGACACAACCGTAAAAGAGGGAAAGATAACTTGGCATCCTTCTGTCTCTTATTTTTCAGTGACTGCTTCCTTTTCGTTGCCTCTGTTCACCCATTTGTTCAATTAACCAACAAGAGGTGGAAATTTAGGAGACCTGGATTCTAGCCCTAGCCACTAACTCTATGTGACTTTGTACAAGTGGCTTCATTTCTTTGGGCCTGTTTCCTGTTAAATGAAAGAGTTGGACTACATCAGGGGTTCTTAACCTTTTTATTGTGTTATCGATCCTCTTGTCAATCTAGTGAAGCCTATGGACCCTTTCTCAGAATGTTTTCAAATGTATAGGATTACAAATGAAATCAATTATATTGACATGCAGTTATCAAAATATTTTAAAAACATATCCACATACCCTGGACTAGGTGATCTTGTTCAACTCTTAATATTTCATGTTCCATATTCTAATGTTCTATGTTCTATGATCTCTTCTAGTTCTAACATTGTAAGTTATACATTTTAGAGTTCTCTGTTCTTAGACAGGGGTGGGGAACCTGTGGCTTCGAAGCTACATGTGGCCCTCTAGGTCCTCAAGTGCAGCCCTTTGGCTGAACTCAAATTTCGCAGAATGAATCCCTTAATAACAGGATTTGTTCTGTAAAACTTGGACTAAGTCATAAGGCCACACCCAAGAACCTAGAAGGCCACATGTGGCACGGAGGCCACAAGTTCTCCACCCCTGTTCTATGGTCCCTTGCCTCTCTATACTTGATGTTTTTGACACCAACATTCTACATTCTAAAGTTCCTACCAGTTCTAATACTCTGTACCCTATGTTCTAAAATTCTTCATTCTAAGGTCTCATCCACCTCTAACATTCCAACTTCTTAGGTCTCTTCCAACTGTAACACTTTGTGATTCTAAATTGGTTTTATTCATTTGTGTCACTGAGTGTTTTGCCCAATTTTTTTTTTAAATGAAAGCTAGTTATTGGCAGGGACGTCTTATTCACAGTTTGATACAAAGGACTTTAGCACACTATGGAATCATAGCTACAACAATAGTCAAACTAAATGTGGGAACAACAAAATATATAAACAACAATTTCTCTACCTTATATATCTTTCTTTCTAGGTGAACGAGGTGCAAAGGGTGATCAAGGAGAGCCTGGAGTTGGCCAGCGAGGAGAAATAGGACCTCCTGGAATACCAGGTAGGTTTCCTAGCCAGATTCTTATAGATGAAGATGTGTGGCCACCAGGAAGAAAAGAGGTAGCATAGAAATAGTAGACATCAGATTCTCACAGCACTTTTGCAACAGCATAAGCAATGTAGGATGGTATGGTAAGAATCAGTTCTGGCAAATTCAAATTTCTCCTTAAAAATTTGCCTAAAGACCTCATCCTTTTTTCTTCTTAAATGTTTGAGTCTGCTGTCCTTTAATAAAAGAATGGGGTGCAATGGAATAAGTACTGAGTTAAGAATAAGGAGACTTAGGGCAGGTAGGTGGCGCAGTGGATAGAGCCCCAGCCTGGGAGTCAGGAGGACCTGAGTTCAAATGTGACCTCAGACACTTGACACTTACTAGTTGTGTGACCCTGGCCAAGTCACTTAACCCTATTGCCTAAGTGGAAAAAAAAAAAGAATAAGGAGACTTGGGTTCCATTTCCTCCTTTGTCAATTAAAACCTTTGTGCTAGCTGATGCCAAATGTCTCTTTCAGCTTCAGAATTCTGTATTCTGTGGTTCCTTCCCTCTTCATCATTCTGCATTTTTATATGTTCAAAATTCCATTCCACCTATTCCATTCTATGATCTGCATTCTGAAGTTCTCTGTTCTAAGGCTTGTTACTGTTAATAGTACATATTCCATATTCTGCTGTTGTATGCTTTAAGGCTCCACCCAGTTCTGACATTGTTCTAACACTCTGTTTGCTAAGAAGTCCCCTTCCAGTTCTAAAAGTAAAATCCATGATTAAGAATCGTTTTTCCGTATTTGCTGCTTGAGGATGTGGTCTGTTCATTCTGGGTATAAGTATACTTTGGTCAGGACTAGATATTAAAAAAAGTGAAGGAAGCTGAATGTGGTTGGTCATTTCGTGTGTGTATGTGTATATATGTTTGTATGTGTGTTTGTGTATGTTTTAAGCAAACCCCTGTTTTAAGCTTTCTTTTAAAATATTTGCTTCTTTCCTCTGAAAACAAAATGCTGAAACTATTTCAGGGAGCCCATGATTCAGTCTTACTGGGCTCTAATTAATTGAAGTTTCCCTCTATAAGTTGCTTAAGATCAGGTGAGTCTGGTAGACAGTTGGTAACATAGCCATCGATAAAAACTCGTGCTCTAAATACATAGGTTTAGCTAACATTTATCTTTATGAATGGTTAAATAAATACGAAATCTGGCTGTAAGAACAGGGATCACTTTTCTTTCCCTCTTGGAAGAAGCCTTAACCAATCTATATTTCTTCTGTTTTGTGGACTAGGTCAGCCTGGGGAGCCTGGCTACGGGAAAGATGGCATTCCGGGGATCCCTGGTCCTCAAGGAGAAGCAGGACAAGCTGGCCCCCCTGGCCCTCAGGGGCCCCCCGGCCCCAGCGGACAGTGTGACCCTTCTCAGTGTGCTTACTTCGCCAGTCTTGCAGCCCGGCCTGGCAATGTGAAGGGACACTAGAGAGTACTGAGGAAGCCAAGGAGATGTGAGGAGGATTTTCTGAAACTTGAACTTTGAACTGAAGAGGAAACCAGGGGTTCACAGATCTCTTGGGCCATGATGTCACTTTTTATTTGTTGTGGGAGGCTTTCTAAATGATTAAAACCAACAGATGCTGCCGGTCGGTCAGATGATGATGATTATTATTGTAATGATTAATATTATTATCCTTAATTATTATGATGATTATTTTATATCCTTTACGTGAGATGGAAGGGTCTTATTTTCTCATCTCTAATGTCAGAGCATGTGGTACCCTTTTCCCCCCTAATTTGTGTTTTTGTTTTGTTCAGATTGGCATCACCAATCTGATGTCTGCTTACCATTTTTAAGAAAATGTTCTCTCAATTATCTTGTCCCCAGAAGACAGAGTCAGGAGCAATAGAAGAAAGTTAAGGAGAAGTAGACTGAAGTTCAATGTCAGGGAAAATTTCCTAACAATTAGAGCTGACCACAGGTGAAATGGGCTATCTTGGGAGGTAATGGATTCCTGTCATTGGAAAACTTCAAATTGAGTCTGGATGGTCATGTGTCCAGGAGAGGCTGTGTGGTGTAAGGGAAAGGGCACTGGATTTAGAGTCAGAGGCCATGGCTTCTAATCTCTGCTCTGTTAACAGCTTAATACCCATGTGACTTTGGCTGGACAAAGTCACTTCACCTGGGACCCTGAGTTGACTCATCTACAGAGTGAAAGGATAGGACTGGAAATCTCTCAAATGACTTCCAGCTTCAAATCCTCTGACATAAAGGATTGTCCTGTGCACATAGGAATTAGAATAGTTGACCTCTCAGGTTTCTGATTCTTTTCTTGGTGCTAGAAATTTGGGGGTTTCTTCATATGTTACCATAATCCAGAGGGAATAGTGTAAAGGAAGTTGTTGTCCAGTCAGCTGATGGTCTTCATAGATCCCAACGTCAAACTTTACCACTTTTTTTTTTTTGTGAGGCAATTGGGGTTAAGTGACTTGCCCAGGGTCACACAGCTAGTAAGTGTTGTGTGTCTGAGGTCGGATTTGAACTCAGGTATTCCTGACTCCAGGGCCGGTGCTCTATCCACTGCGCCACCTAGCTGCCCCTATGTCAAACTTTAAAAAAAAAAATCTACCACCGATGAAAGACCCACATGATGAAGCAAGAGAAGGAGGAAGAACAGATATTTTACTAGGAAAAGAAATGGACACATTGATGAGAAACACTGTCCTTTCCTAATGAACTTCTTGTTTTCAGAGGATGACATAGTTTTTTAGGATACACAAACGACAGTACATCTGACTCTTTCATGCTCATAAAGAGGAGACACTTACTGTTGTTGTTGTTGTTTTTAATTACCAAAAGGAACTTACTAGGCCTTCATGGAGTGCCCAGGGAAATGAAAGACATGTGGAAGGAACTGGGTACAAAAAAGGACAGAGATTTGATTTTTGCCCATAATTACCTTTTGCTTCTTATAGGCTTTCATTATAAATATACAGGCTATTATTTATAAACTGAGCTTATATGCCAATCTCTGCCTCTATAATTTCTGTGATTCTGGGACAGGTTTGGAGTGGGGAAGGAGGGTGTAGCTATGGGAATGCAGCCAGGGAATAATAGTGATGATCATGATAATAGTAAAATAATGACATAGTGCTTTGAGATTCACAAAGGTTGTAATAATTCATATCCTTAACCTCTCAGTGGCTCAATATCTCTAACTCCAAAATAGAGTTAATCTGATTTCCAACCCATGTTTTTAATATGGTTGAGCATCCTATCTTTGAAAGAAAATTTCTGTGTATATACAGAGTGCATTTGCTTTCCAGTCCATGAGGCTGAAATATAAAGAACTCTTAGTTTGAAGAGAGTAGAAGGAGGAAGGAAGGAAGGAAGGAAGGAAGGAAGGAAGGAAGGAAGGAAGGAAGGAAGGAAGGAAGGAAGGATGGATTTATCAGGTGCTTACTATTTGCCAGATAATGGCTAAGCCCTTTACAAATATTATCTCATTTAAGCCCCAAATAACCCAGGGAGTTAGGTCCCCATTTTGCCTCCGGGTACTCTGAAGCAGACAGAGGTTACATGATTTGAACAGCTTTACACAGCTAGTAAGTGTTTGAGGCCAGATTTAAACCCATGTCTTCCTGATGCCAGGCCCAGCGTTCCACCTAGCAGTCTCTAGTGCCCCAGGCTTATAATTGCATCTCTCTTCATTTACTTTTCTAGACCCTAAACACATCCTCTCTGGGTCTCAGTTTCCTCTTCTGTAAAATGAGATTGGGTTGGATGATCTCCAAAGCCCCTTGTAGCTCTAGATCCTGTGATTTTAGAGCTTGTGTTTGCTATGCCCTTGAGGAAAAATACACTTTTTTTAGACATGGAAAAGCTATTCAAATGCAAATTGTTGTGCAGACTCAGAGGGCTAATACTGAAGCACGACAAATCAATCATTCGCTTCACTAGCACACTGGGCCCTAGAGCACAGACAGCTGCAGCAGCCCCAGTGAGCTACCTGTGGTCTAAAAGAATTCCTGTTCCTTTCAGCCTTCGGTTATTGACTTAAGCAATGGGAGCAAAGCCTTTCCAAGAGAATGGCAAATTCCTTCTGCCCACATATTTTTAATGCCTGCTATGATCAGGGCCCTGAGCTCAGTTGCACAGTAGGGGATGCACAGATTCTGCTTTTAAGGAAGACGGGGAGAGAAAAGACAAGGACGTAATCATAAAACAGACATTAAATAAGAAGTATTCAGAGAGACTTAAGGGGGGGGGGAACCAAAAAATACTGCCAGAAGCTAAGGGCTCTAACCCTGGGCTTGTGGCTTTTAAACCAACTTCAAAGTCTGCTGAGGACTCAGTTGTCCATTCTTTGAATAGGCATAGAGTAAGAATTCTCACCTGTGTGTCAAGGGAAATTTTCCTGGAGAGGCTGGCTGACCACTTGTAAAGAGGCTGCAGAGGGTAATCCTGCTCTCATAGTGGTATGACTAGATGACACTTATGGTCTGTTATACATGCCTAGAATGGTGCTAGGTGATGTGAGGGCTAGAATAACCATATCGACCATTCTTCTATACTTCTGAGGATCTGTGTTTTTTTCAATGTAGGTGTTTTGCCACTGCAGATCCCAGCTCCCCAGGGCTTTAGGAGATGGCTTAATGAATTGCTATGGCCAGGAATATTCATCTCCTGTGGCCAGCTCCCTCTAGTGAGAGTCTTTCTGCACTTAGCTGGCTGGGCTGGACCAAAATGAAGAAAGCCCATGGGAGGTCACAGTGCTTGCCAATGAGGCCTTTTCACATTGAAGGGAATTGCCAGTATTTATACTCCACTGACATAACCTTTGAGAAGCCCTCCCATCACCTACCAACACCACAGTGAGGCATCTGGGGTGAAAATTATTAGAGAAATAAATAATAAATGATAATCACAGCACTAATAATACCACCTTGCTAGTATATAGTGTTTTAGGTTTTCCAAGGGTTTTTCACATCCATTATGTTCTCTTATCCTTTCAAACAACTTAACCTCTGACACTGTGAGACTGGAACAGATCTCAACCTCAGTTCCTTCATTTGTAAATTGAGTACAGACATGTCTGTACTCCTTACTTCATTGGGTTATTGGAGGAAAAGCACTTTGCAAGCCTTGAAGTGCTATTTTAATGGTTTTGTTGTGTTGTTACCGTAATTATCATTGTGAGTTGTGAAATTACAATTGCAGTAAGTTGCAACCTAATGCATTTCAGATGCCTAAGCTCTAGAAGGTCTGCAAAGCCCTACCATCAACTTAACTGGAATTCTGAACAAAAGGTATAATGATGCAAAAGAATTATTCTGCAGGCTGATACCTTCAATAGTTCAATTCCACTAACTTTCCCTATGCTCCTATTCTGGGCAGGCCCCAAGTTTAAGACTACCACCCAGGTGGATTTAATGAGATCATTGCCTGCCCTCAAGGAGCTTGCTGTCTAGCAGAAAAATCCAAGAATATCTCTGATACAAAGCATAGCCTCTGAGTTTGTGAGAGATGTAAACCTAGTGCCTAGGGGATTTGAAGAACTTGCATCACCAGTACCTATCAGGGAAATTTGCATGTAGTGGGTGCTCAATAAATGTTTATTGAATTCCTTTGGGTGATCATTTCGGCTGTCAGAAATCCAGAAAGGTTCCATGGAGTACTTAGCACAGTGCCTGGCACATAGCAGCCCCTTAACTAATGTTTATTGACTGACTGACTGACTGACTGACTGACTGGAAGAGGTCGTGTTTGAGCTGGGATTTTTTTTTATTTGGATATTTGAGTACTGTAAAGCACCCTGAACCTGGAGTCTGATGCCCCTGCATTAAAGTCCTAGCATTGCCCCTTACTAGCTAATAGCAGTGTGGACCAATTCACATTTCTGTAATACACATTTTTTTCACAACAGTCTTACTCTATATTTATTCCCATTTTTCAGCTGAAGAAATTGAGACTCAGGAGAAGGCTGGCCCTTATTTAATAAGTGTAAAAGCATGGACGGGATGTTAAAGATGAAAGAAAGCTTAAAATATAGTATGTTAGAACCCATAGCATATAGGATGTTAGAATGGAAGGACCTTAGAACCAAGGCTTCCAGAATTGGAAGGGACTCTCCCATAGAGGACTTTAAAACTAGAAGAGACATTAGAATGAAGAATGTTAACCTAGAAAAGACCTTAGTCTGACTCCCTCATTTTATAGAAAGGGAAACTGAGGCGCAGAGTGGTTGGAGGCTAATGTCAGAGGCATGAATAGAATCCAGATCTTATGACTGCCAGGCAAGTGTCCTTTCCATTGTTCCATATCTGCATTCAGCTGTGTTTTGAAGTGGAAAGACCTTTGCTATGAATATCCAAATGTGTTTAAAGATTATATTTTGGTCCCCTGAGGCAGGTTTTCAGTTTAGGCCCTGAGATCTTATCACTTAACTCCCATCTCCCTCAAATGTTTGCTGTTCTGTGCCCCTTAAAAGTCAATAGGATTAAGCTGACTTGGCTTACCACTAGGGAATGAACTCAGTCAATCAAAATTGGAACAAATGCAGGGCCTCTTTTTTTGAGGGATTGGTGGGAAATTTGAAACCCATTCAAGCAATACTATTAATTGCAATATAGAGGATTCAGCTAGGCCAGAATTATCCTAGGCCGCTGACCCTGAACATTTGGCTTACTTAGATGTGAACTTACGCAGCGGAAGGGTATAAGAACTCTAAAGAAGGGAAAGAGAGACAGAGACAGAGGCAGAGGCAGAGAGGGGTTGAAGTTGTTAGCTGATTCCCCATCTTTCTCAATAACCTCCCTAGCATAGCTACTTGCCTGCGCTGGAGATTCTTCCCAACAGCTGGCCTTGGCACCCAAAGTCTTTGGGGATGCTGGGCCAATCTTCTTGTTGTTCACCTCTTAAACTACAGGTGAAGATACCCAGTATTGCAAACAATGCTAGAATGATAATCATAGGCAACCCCCACCCCCGACCCAGTAATATTTACAAATCACTTCCCTCCTCAAAGCCCTGGGAGCTGGGGTCATATAGGTGTTGTGATCTCTGGTTTGTTTGTTTGTTTGTTTGTTTTTAACGATGAGAAAACCTACATTTATAGAGGTCAAGAAACTAATCCAAAGTTACACAGCTAGTGAGTAGCAGGACTCAACCAGGTTTCCTGATTCCAATATTTTGTCCATAACACTGTGCATCTTCCTTCCACTGACTCAGTATTCCAGGACACAGATATACAGGCTTTACTGGTAAAGTGCAAGGCCTCTAAGATCTGGGGTTTTGTATTTAGAAAGGGGGAGGTGGAGTTGGGGATGTATTTCTGCAATGGATGCTTTAATGCTTTTTATCTAGTATATGAATCTTTCTGACTAAGCATAGGATGGAATACCAAATGTGTCTCTCTCACTCTTTCTTGCTTTAAAAAAAAATCACTAATGGGAAGGAGAGTGTATTTGTTAAATTGTTGAAGTTGGTATTA